AGTACTCAAAGTATATTCCACCTATCCCTTACAAATTTTAACAAAGAAATTAAGCACGCACCAACGTCACAACAATCATCGAATTGATTGGTTTCATATAATTGTCTAATACATGTGAGGATCCTGGCCAGCAACAGAGCTCCATAGAAATGCAGAGGAAGCTGGCTGTAATGCCCGCGCGGTGTATCTGTTTTCATGGTCCATCGGCCGTGACTGCCCATCGTGTGCCGCCAATGTCGGCGGCATCTGGCCCCCAGACGTCCGGGCCTCTCTCAGCCGGGCCATTCCCAGTCGACGGGCGCACCAAGCGCCGCGCCCGCCGCCATTGTTGGCGCCGGGCCGGCCAACTCGGCCCGTTCTCATGCCACGCCGCCGCTCTCGGCCGAAACCAACGCCGCTCCACTGAACTCAGGCACAGTCTAAATGCAAATTACCTCCGCCGGCGCCGGCCGCCGCCTCCGAGCACATGCATTCGGTCTGGGTTGGTGGCATCCTCCACCTCCCCGGCAGGCGCTCTCAGGCCACCCGGTCCGGCTCAGTTACCAACTCTCTGCGCCTCGTCCTTCCCCCGTGAAGAATCTCATTGAGACACAGATCAACTTGGCAAACTTTGAGGCTGCAGCCGCCGACCGGACGCCGTGGCTCCATTTCTGGCGCACCGCGCCGGCCAGGCCGGTCGGTCACAGCGGCCGAAGCAACTTGTGACGGCGGCGTAATGGCAGTGCGGCAAACTTGGCGCGGTCCGTTAGTGCGCCAGGCCGGACGGACACTGCGCAACTTGGCGCAACGTACGATCGCGACGCATGGAAATAGAAGGAGATGGCGTCGCTCCCATTGCGTCGCCAGCCATCCACCGAAGGCATGTGATTAGGCGATAAGGTTTTATGGCGGGGGGCTTATACGGCTCAGTACTGATGGCTTCGTCAATTTTCACCAGCGTCACGAAACTTGATAACATTCAAGAGGCATCTCAAGAAGATGGGAACGATTAAATTCTCGAATGAAACCAATACATTAATTCCAATTCCGCAAAAATAAAAGCGTAATGACAAGCTTTTCCAACAAAACCTGTGGTGGCTCCTATGTATAAGTACTCGTATGAGGCCGCGCTAGCCGCACCTTATCTCCTGTACGCTCGGTGGCTTTATCAAATCAGGACTGCACTCTGATAACTGTGTGTTTACCCACCGGAAGGACAAAAGAAGTTCCCTGAATGAAAAAGCAGGCAACGTCGGATAGCTTTCAGTATTTTCAAAAGAGCACCCAGCTTTAGCAGCATCTCCCTGGGTTCTCGTTTTGTGCCGTTCTCCCGGCTCGGCGTCAGCCGCCTGTCTGTGAGGCTCGGTGTGGTCGCAGCCGGCTCCTTTCAGCGACGTCCGTTCATCTGCCATCCGAGCAGCTGTTTTTGTGGCCAGATGAGCTGGCTGAGAGCGGAGCCGAGCGGCCATTGGTCGGGTCCGGACGGTCCGCACTCTAATTAGTACCGCGCCCCAGGCTGCACGGCGGCTTCATTTTCCGTCCCGGGGACTCTGGACGGCGCTGGGTCAGGGTTGGGTTGGGAGGGGAGGGGTTGGATTAGAGGTCACTCCGATCCAGGCAAACACAACACTCATTACTGATTAACCCGCGCACCGACGGGGGTCTGCGCCAACTTCGCACCGACGGGGGGGGCGGATGACCGCCCCCCCCCCTGAGATCTCGAGAACGAAGCAAGATAGCGACAAGCGGTAAACGGCATCGGATACGCACGGCCAAGATCTACAATTTTTACTAAGGTCATTTTCAGGTCAGGTCAAAGATGACGTCACAGGGGTCGAAAAAGTCAAAATGGCGGCGCTAGATATAGAGTTTTTTCTCGAATAACTTTCGAATTAGTCAAGATAGGAACAAACTAAGGGCATCATCGTGATCCTCTCGTCAATCCGCATCGAATGCTATATATGTTGACCTCGAAAGGTCAAGGTCAAAGGTTGACCTCAGGTCACGTGACCTCGAGGTCATCATGTATATCATTCGATGCGTCTTGACGAGCTGAACACAATGAGACCATCCACGCGTCTGTATCTTGTTCCTGTACGGAGTTATTGGCCAAAAACCTTTAGTGACCTTTGATGACGTCACATGACCTCACAGCTGCCCAACAGCAAAACAGACCTCAAGGTAGTGAAGGTTGATCGTATATGAAGTCATGTAAAGTATATGGGGCCATTCCGACCCGTTTTAGTGGTAAAAACAGGGAGTTGATTTTTCCCCCATTGATTTATAATGGGGAGGTCGCGAAATTGACCTGACCTTAGGTCACCGATATCAAAATTCCGAGATATACAAATTGTAGCTACTAATGACCTAATAATATCCTGCGACTTTCAAAGGCCTCCGACATCTACTGTAGCTGTGGCACGGTGACAAAGTTGCAAAAAAGTGACTTGAGGTTGGGTCATTCAAAGTCACCTGGTGACCTGACCTTAAAAGATAGGAAGTTCAAACTTGCACACCATGTGTAAAATTGATGAGGTTATAGTCATACCAAATTTCGCGGCGCTACGCGCCGCGGTTTTCCCGCTATTCGCGAAAAACCTCAGGGGGGCGGATATCCGCCCTCCCCCCCGTCGGTGCGCGGGTTAACCCGCGCCCCGTAGGGGGGGCCGAAACGGCCCCCCCCCCCTGTCCTTTTCGGTCGATATCTCCTAAACGGCTGGAGATATCGCCACCAAACTTTCAGGACCCCTCCGGGCATCAATTTTACACATTGTGACCAAAAAATTTTCCAGAGGCTATGATAGGTTGGCCACAAATGACGTCAGAGTGACGTCATGTTCTGTCATTTTCGACCGAAAAAAGACCTTCGCGAGTAGACCTGTCAGGACTACAGCTTTGAAGATACAGAAAAATGATCAAGACATAAAAGGTGTAGAATTGACAGGGCTACAAAACTGCTATCTCGAATTTTTGAAATTTTTTAGTTTTGACCCCCAAAAATCAAAAAAGCATTTTTTGGATATATTCGCCAGAAAATCAAAAAAGTTTTTTGAGTTTCGAAAAAACCGGAATATATGTGATAGTGCCTACCGTCTTCTATCTACATACCAAATTTCAGATCGATACCTCGTTTTTTGGCCAAGTTATAGCGAAAAAACTGTTCAAAAATGATGCCGTCAAATTTTCAAACTCAATTTTTGGCAATTCTAGAACTCGTAGAGCAAAACGAAGACCACCATTAGACTCCCCGTGACGAGCTGCATCGAATCGATACCCATTTTATGCAAAAATATCAACTTTGAAATTTGACCTAATTTGACCTGACCTAGACCTGACCTTCACCAAAACGTGACCTAGGCTGGCCCCAAAGGCTGCCTAACCCACATAATCGCATTTTTCATGTAAAATGGACCATAAAACATGTATCACACGACACATTCATATTGTGACCCCCGGTGACCTGACCTCGCTGTGACCTGACCTGGTATCAGTGACCTCAGATAGCAAAGTATGTGTTTGACGAACAATGTACCATCGATGGTTTTCAATAAATAACCAATTTACTTGCTTTCACAGCACATTTCTTGAATTGCCTGTGAACGGTGAAAATCTGACCTTTGACCTGACCTGTGACGTCATCGGTTAGACCTAGGTCAATGAAATTTGGTCACAAGGTAGTTCCCAGGTGGTGCTATCGAACGCCGTTTGAATTTTGAAAATCGGCCGGTAACTTTCCGAGATCTTAGGGGGGGCCGAAACGGCCCCCCCTACGGGTGGTAGGGTCCGCCGGTAGCCCTACGGGGCGCGGGTTAATGGGTTTTGCGTTGCAGAGGACGCACGGTTAGGTGAAGTAGCCTTTTATACGTCTGCTTAGTTTCAAGATCTTTCAAGAAATGAGGCTTGCATGGTGGTATGATAAAAATGTCCTTTATGTGCCTAAGTTTTGCTTTACGAAAGTAGCTGCACTTGCGAACTATCGTATGAATTTCTGAAACATTTTATTTTCAGTCAAGTAAGCCGCTGTGTATCTAAATTCAAGATTATTTACTACAGCAATATAAAATACATAACTATATTCGCATGCGTTATTGTTCATGCAAGCTTTATGTGTATTAGGACGATTGTAGGGAGTAGGGACCTACGAAAGACTACGCTCGCTTCGCTCGCTCCGTAGTAAACCTTTCCCATTCTGAAACTGGGCAAAAGCCTCTTGAAAGATCCTTGAAAGATGGATCTTTTCTCTTAGCGAAATGGAAATAGTTAATGGAAAAGTTTCTTCGTTGTGCCACAAACTGATTTTAGACTTACAAGTTGCGAAGTTTATTTAATTTCGATTTCGGCTCTGACTTTTGTGGATCAAACGTTTGCCGCTAAACTTGTTTGGACGGAGACGACCGGATGGAAAAGCTTGCGCAATGGTCCAACTAAAAAGAAACGTTTTGAGGTCTTCCTGCCTTTTTGCAACCACCATAGGTATATTGCAATATACAAACATGGCCGACTGTTGAGGAGGATGGCATCAATATTTCCTCACATTCGCCAGACCACTCGGTGTTTTATCTGGTATACCAAAGCACAAATACCGCATTAGCATACCAATAGGAAATGACGACGACGGACACCATATTTCGTCACAAGCTTCAGTCGAGGTATTCAGTCCTTAATCCTGCCATAGAGCTGCTGATCTCGCCATTTACGAACTTGCCCAGCGCACTCGCTCCCGGCCGAGCTAGGTCAGTGCGGGGGCGTCCCGCATCTGGCCTGTCATTTCTCGGTTGGTATCGTGAGAACGATATTACTCATAAATGAATTACCCTGTGGAGGCCATCAGTCATGCAAAAGTGGCGTACGAATGATAGGTTTTAATTTCAATACACCATGCAAAGTGCCGGTGATGAAACATAGCCGTGAAGGCAAATTATTGCAATGTAAGACAATAACAATGTAGCCACTAGCCAGATAAATTTGTAAATGGTGATGTTTCTATCACTATGTGACGAGATGACGTCATTGGCACTCACCGTGTGACCAGGTGATGTTCTTGATGGGGTAGCCCCCGACGGGACAGCGCAGAGTCAACTGGGAGCCGGCCGCGGCTGACACGGGGCCCGTAGAGCGAACCACAGGAGCGCCTGAAACACGCACAGGGGTGGTGAGTGAGGTCAATTATTAAAACGCCGATAGTGGGGAGCGGGGAGACGAAAGGTTAGACCTGCCCCTCCCACTGGTCACGAAAGGAGGGGTGTCCGGTGCGGAAAAGTCTCGTCGACGTTTTTACAGAAAGGCTGCTCAAGTTTTCACGTAGGGGAGAGTGGGGCAAAGCGGCCACCCGGGGCAAAGCGGCCACCCATCGTTTTAGCCCTTCATAGCTGGCGTCAGTTCAAATTTATGGTTTCCAATTATGCTTCTCTTCACGGTCGTTCGAATGAGCCAGACCGGGGTTTCAGGCCCATCACCATTGTTCTGTGAAACACGGAAAAGCATTTCTTGCCAGGTTACCAACTATGTTTACAATTTTTAAATGTTATGTTATCCCACAACCGTTTGGAATTTTTATAAGCGTTCTTGTCCGTGCATTGCATGGTTATCGTACATGTATTCTACCAATTTTAATGTCTTTTACCCCACCAATAGCTAAGCTGGAATATTTTTGTCTCGGACGGTATGCGCGGGGCAAAGTGGCCGGGGCAAAGTGGCCACCCCCAATTGGCCATAAGCTGCTTCCATCTGGATAAAAAAACATTATTGATCTTCAAATGTGTCGTCATGCATTCATCTTGGCCACTTTTCAGTTGCATGAGTTACCAAATAATGCAATTAAATGTTTATTTTCATGAAAATCCTTTCTTTGTTTACCTACAGGTGGAAGATGATAAAGTAAACATCCATCCTCGCTTAACCTTATCACCATCAAATACCCTAGTCGTACACGAGGCAACTATTTTGTTTCTCATATCGGGACTTGAGAAAACGCCGGTGGCCGCTTTGCCCCAGGGTATGGGGCAAAGTGGCCAATATGCATAGGTTGAAAGTTTTGTCAATATCTTTCATATGTGAACGCCTTTGGAAATAAAACGCAGTTGAAATAAAAGGCAACTTAATAGGGATCACATTGGTATAGAAAGAATCTTTCCAAGTTTAAAAATCAAGCGTTGGCATCGTGAGAAGCGTTAGGGTGGCCGCTTTGCCCCACTCTCCCCTACTTTCAAAGACCGGGTTGAGGATTTGGTCCTAAAACAAGTCATGCTGACAAAAGCCGTCTTCGCTTCTAATTAATTACGTGCTCATCAGCGAGAGTGCTTCTCTAATGTTTAATGACTAATGCACTTGGGAGGACAAAAGTGACTCGTAAAAGTCAGACCTGAAAAAGTTTGCAGCATTAGCTATTCTGGAATCGCAACAGTCTCACAGACTATTTCGTGGTTGCTGTTCGTAGTCAAAACGAAGATCGTTTTTGCATTTACGAGGTTAACATAATTCTACATCCCTCCCTTTTTTGATCTGAGCCATTCAATTTCCACTGCTCTATAAATGTTTATTTTCTAATGTGGATAAGAGCCGCGAAATCTTTATTTTTCCCTTCTTACCATCATTTTATTTTACTGTTTTTCATTATCTTTGTCTGTGTATTGCGTGAATACGATATCAAGCATGTACGTTTATTTCAGTCCTATCTATGATGAAATTCATGTTATCTAAAATAAACATAATTCCGTGTATATTTAAAAACTAATTAAAACGAGTCTCACCGCGATAGAGGCTTCGTTTCTCGTAGCATCGAACGCGAAGAGCATTGGGCCGTTCTCCAAAACCCCGTTCACCTTGATTCCATTTCCAGCCGTCGCACTCTGCGTGCGGCCTCCGTCGGGTCCGTTTATGGGGCCGTCGCTCGCCGACGCTTATCGCCATCGCCGTCGGCAGGGCTCTCCACTTCCGATAGCAAACAGTGTCGCCGTGCGCCGGCCGCGCCGCTACCGGCGACCGGCGAGCCTGTTTACCCGGGCCCGGGCGCGCACTTGACGACTCTGGCCGACCGCGGTAGGCTGCCGAGAGGGCGATATGAAATCGGTCCGCGATCGGTGGAATAAGGTCGACTCCTTGGCGATTCAGTCACGAGCGCGCGGGCGGTGCAGATCGGCCAAATCGCCCAGAGTGTGTGATCTTCGGAGCGGAAACGAGCTAATGCGATTTACCTGAATCGGGGCGCTCCCTGATTTGCCTGAATCGCTAACAGGGTAGGATATCGGCGACATGCGTTGGTTTCCGCCGTCGGCAGAGCTATTTGTGGCCTCTCCGTGGCCCGCTGCTGGCGCCTGGCCGGTCGGACGATATTGCCGTACTGTTTACACAGTTTGGCACTCGTACTCAATTGCGCCCCGCCTGCCGCCACTGGCGGTTCCGCTACCGGCGCCGGTCATTGGAAGCGGCACTCAGCGTCGTTAGCAAAACGTATCCGTGTGCGGACTCATGCCATCGCAAAGGATGTTATTTGCTAGTCATTTAGAATGATATTGGTTTGAGCATCACATTACCCCATTGATACGCCATTTATATCGGTGAATGCGTGTGAAAAGCTACAATACGAGTATAATGCGGCTCAAATAATATAGTTTTAACAGTACCGTACTATCAAATACATATATTCATTTTACTTTCCTACCGATTAAACGTTGTCGATTGCTTCCTCTGATGATAAGTCCTGACAGCAGACCATCTCCAACATTGACTATGGAGTGAGCGGTCTGTGTTGTGTCCACGCACTGTGGCTGGAACCACTGGAGGGCGCTCCCCACACGGCGCGAGAGAGCTGGAGCGGCCCCTGAGAGCTGAGCTCCTCCGAGTGAATGCTTCTCGGCTTCTGAAGCCCAGCTCATACCCGGAGGCAGCCTGTCAAAGGCAGAAGCGGTGGACTTTCAACCTCCGGGACCTGTTTATTTGCACTTTACCAAGACGTTCCGCTTGGAGCTGCCATTTGGAGGCCAAAACATAGGTTGAGAGAGCTGTAGTTGCGAACTCAAACAGAAGTCAACAATTTTTTTTTAGATAAGCGTGTGGCGGTGATATAAAAATTACATTTGCATTACAGTTATATTTCTCGCTTTTGTATGCAGAGTTAAGTTACATGCTACTCCAATCGTATTGCAGCTAACCTCTTATTAAAAGCAATATAAATTTAAGGTGCCAGGTATTACAGGAGAGTGTATACTTATCGCCTATCACTTTTAAGTGCTGCATTTCATAAAGCAAAGGACAAAAGAAAAAGAGTGAAAAAGGGTGAAAGAAAGGAGGAGAAAGCAAGGAGATGGAAGGGAAAGAGAGATATAGAGGGACAGATAGAGAGAGAGAGAGAGAGAGAGAGAGAGAGAGAGAGAGAGAGAGAGAGAGAGAGAGAGAGAGAGAGAGAGAGAGAGAGAGAGACTCGTCATAACAAGATATTTTAATCCCTGGCTCCTGCTTCGCTTAAAACATAACAATTTAACATACATTTGCAACTTCGACCCGTATGGAAGACCAGAGTGATGCATTGCAGCTGACCTCCAATATTTCATCAAATTTCCTGTATCTGGGAAACAATTCAGCCGTTCCTCGAGTCATTAATCATGGCGCCTTATTAAAGAAATGCGGGCCGTACGCGGCGCCCCCTCTGTACCAGCAGACCCCCGCTCTGTCCAGGCGGCGAGTAGTGAGCGCCGCCGGCCGGCCGGAAAACTGGCCATGATTCAGGACCGGGCAGCGCGATAGCGGCCACCACCGACAATAAATGTCCACACCGGTCAGGCGGCGACACCCATCAGCGATGACTTATGCGGTTGGAGGCGGCTGACCTCTGCCGTCGTGTTGAAACTGTTGAGATGGGTGTACGGGAGGAATAGCACCCCGCAAATACCAGTCGCGAATACGCGAATACTAGCGTGTCGCCGATTGACCATCTCGGGTGGTATTGGTGTTTGCTCGCCTTCACCGGCTCCATTAACCCCGCGGGTTCTGCGGAGTGGGCTGCAGAGGTCGGCAGGGCCACTCGAAGTCGCCGCTCAGCATATTGCCATGGAGACGAAGAGAGGTGGATGTGTGCACACAATTTGCCCGGAAAGATCGAGTCATTTATATTTCAAGGCGGTGACTGCTGACGCAGAAATATGACGCGGGCTGATATAAAAAGGTTTGCTTCGTATACGTATTAGTGGTGTCAATCGGAACTTGAATCTTCGGAATTCCAATTTGGTCCAATGTCCAGTCCTGAATTTGGCTAGACAATGAGAGCAGGCTTTGGACAACTTTGGACAATCACTTGCTGCACCTCAGCATTTTTATAAAGTAATCGTGTTTAACATTGATTGGCGAATAAAAAGCGCAGAGCTTTCGATATGATTAACACTTTTTTGAGCTGGTAATAGTAAATTAAAAGCAAATTAAATAGCAATGTTAAATGTAAACTATTGTGTAGGTTTCGGACATCTTTGGACAAATGGCTGGCACGGATATTTTTGGACGGACAGTCGACGTAAGTATTGGACATTGGACGGACATTGGGCATACATTTTCTGAAACTGACACAACAAATACGCACGCTGACTGCTGGGGAAGCACTCTGTTGTTTTATTATTTGTCTGCGAGATTGTGGACCCGTTTGCAGGGGCGGATCCAGGAAAACTCCAAGGGGAGGGTCATGAATCGAAGTGGTGCCCCTACCTATACCCAAAATTAAAAACTCAACGGATTTCGTCCACTTCATTTTGGTGGTGCCCCCATTTTCAGTTTTTTCCTTTTTAATTTTTATTTTTAGTCAGTATCTTAACTTTTGCCACAACCACATTTACCAATTGTAAGCAAGTATATATGAATGTGCTATGTGTATATATGTTGTGGACGCTGAGTAGTGAGTACTTACCAGGAACGTTATCAGGTAAGCGAATCGTTGTCAGTCCGACGAACTTGACCCTGGCGTCTAAAGGGTCTGTCCTTGACAGTTCAGGCTTGTCAGGGGCACCAAAGTCCTTCCAGGGACACCACAAACCTGTCAGGGGCACCTACGGCCTTGTAGGGGCGCCACAGGCCCGCCAGGAAGCAGGGGCACCACAGGTCTAGCAAGTATACACGACAGGCCTGTCAGGGGCACAACGGGCCTGTTGGGCCCATGAGCACCCCTAGGGGCAGGGGCACCACAGTCCTTCCAGGGGCACCGCAGGCCTGTGAGGGGCACCAGCGGCCTAGCAGGGGCACCAGTCAACACAGGCCTGCCAGGGGCACCACAAACCTGCCAGGGGCACCAGAGGCCTGCCAGGAGCACCACCGACCTTGCAGGGGTAACTTGGGCCTGTCAGGGTCACCACGGGCCTGTCGAGAGGCACTTCAGGCTTTTCAGGGGCACCATAGTCCTCGGCCGGGCGCAGGGGTAGCAGGGGCACCAGAGGCCTGCCAGGGGCACTACAGGCCTAGCAAGGGCACCACTGGTCTATCAGGGGCACCACGAGCCTGTCATAGCCAGGCATCTCAGGCTTGTCAAGGCCCAGGGGCACCACAGGTCTGTGAGGGGCGCCAGCGACCTAGCAGGGGCACCAGTCAACACAGGTCTGCCAGGGGCGCCACAGACCTGCCAGGGGCACCACAGACCTGCCAGGGGCACCAGAGGTCTGCCAGGGGCACCACCGGCCTCGCAGGGGCACCTTGGGCCTGTGAGGGGCACCACGGGCCTGCCGAGGGGCACTTCAGACTTTTCAGGGGCACCAGTCCTCTTAGGGCGCAGGGGTACCAGCGGCCTAGCAAGGGCACCAGAGGCCTGCCAGGGGCACCACAGGCCTAACAAGGGCACCACGGGCCTGTCAGGGGCACCTCAGGGTTGTCAGGGCCCAGGGACACCACAGTCCTTCCAAGGGCACCGCAAGCCTGTCAGGGGCACCAGAGGCCTGCCAGGGGCACCACAGGCCTGCCAGGGGCACCACAGGCCTGCCAGGGGCACCACAGGCCTAGCAAGGCACCACTGGCCTGTCATGGCCGGGCACCTCAGGCTTGTCAGGGCCCAGGGGCACCACAGTCCTTCCAGGGGCATTACAAGCCTGTCAGGGGCACCAGAGGCCTAGCAAGGGCACCACAGGCCTACCATGGACACCACAGGCCTGCCAGGGGCACCACCGGCCTTGCAGGGGCGCCTCAGGCCTGTCAGGGGCACCACGTCCCTGCCGGGGACACTTCAGGCTTGTCAGGGGCGTTACAGTCCTGTCAGGGCCCAGGGGCACCAGGCCCGTGGTGTCCCTGCTAGGCCTGTGGTGCCCCTGGTGGTCCTGTGGTGCCCCTGTCAGGACTGTGATACCCCTGATAGGCCGGTGGTGCCCCTGGCAGGTCTTTGGGCCCCCGGGCCTCAAGGGGGGGGCCATGACCCATGTGACCCCCCCCCCTTGGATCCGCCCCTGCCCGTTTGGCTCTCAATTCGCCTCTACAATTGCAAACTGGTTGAAAATTAATGTAACCAATTGTGCTCCAAAGCAATCTGGTAGCAAGGCGCGCATATAAAATGACCAAGTTCGTTTGGGGAATGTGTTGTTCCGAGAACCTGTCAGGTCGTTTCATTAGGAACGCAACATTTTCAGCAATGTTTCTCAGGTAGTCAACTTTCCAGCCCCCACAAGACACTTGAAGCGCAATACCTGTCGCCGAAGTACAAAGTTTACAATTGCTGCTCCTTCGACAGAAAACTTCATTTGCCAGAATATTTTCAGACGCTGTCTGGGGAATGCATAACAATAAGTGGCTTCTCAAGCGAGTGCCGTCTGACTTTAAAATACGACCTCGCCTGTCGATGACAGCGCCATTCCCCAACTGATGAGGTCGTATCTCTCGCGACAATCGGATATCGTCGACTGCTTATTTCTTGACCGGGCATGGCAGCGGAGGTGAATTCCCGATCAGCTGGTCGTGTGTGGAACAATACGCTCATGCTAGGAGATAATCTCCCACCGAACGACCGCCACTTGTCACTCGGACTCGTACAGAGCCGCTCATGCGAAAGTGGGATCTTTGCTCGCGGTCGACAGTGACTGGGCACATTTGCTGCCGTGTGACCGAGCCGGCAGTTCAGCGGTCTCGAAATGGACTATAGCTCAACGTATATCGCAGAGAGATGCCACGAACATGCGGGGGCACTGGCGGATGATGTGGCATTAGTTGGTCGATTTGTGGTGCAATGTGGTGCTGTCTCCACGCAGAGAAGCAAATGTACCGATTTTCCAGTAGATGAGGCCACAAGGCCGGAGCCATGACCTTAACAGGACCCGTGAAGCGTACTGGTGTCGCGAAGATTTTATCATATTCTAACTTAAGCTGTCGGGAACTTCCTCCAATCAAGTCGGAGTGTATTATCCGGTTCTGTAGAGCATTGCTAATTTTGAAAGCTAAAATGCTGCCTCCTGATCTTTCATTAAAATACGCATTGACAAAATTATGCATTCTTCGTAATTTTAAATTAAGTACTAGAGTGCACTTATAGACACAAAAACGCATGCGCACACACACTCACAAGCACAGCCCCATCGGTCCTTACCGTAGACGTTGAGTCGGGCTGCGTGCCTCACAGTGCCGGCCGCATTGGAGGCAGCGCACTCGTACAGGCCTCCCTCGGCAGGGGTCACCCGGCTCATGTTGAGGTGACTGAGAACGTCACCACGGTGCACCGTCTGACCGGGCACATACCTGTCAGAGGTCACAGTGACGTCAGAGGTCACCGGGTCACAGAGGTCAGTCGGAGCTGAGTTATGGACAGGTCGGCTCTGAGGAAAAGGTGTCAGTGATGTGCTAAAAACGGTGATTGATGAGATCTAGGACGTCGTCAGCTGTTGTCACTTTGATAGCATTCGGTGTAGCCGGCTGCCCGATAGCATAAAACCACAGCGAATACAGCGAAGGTAAGCGATCCGTAGCGTTACATGTCCATTCATTAGTTCAATATGTTTTTTGTATTGCTGACCATCTACTGATTTACATATCTTCACATCTTCCACGCAAATAAAACCACCTTACAATATAACTTTTCCGCTATCACCTTGCTGACTAGAATCCGTCTATCTGCTCCAGCACAGAAAATCGCCGTAAGGTTTGGTAAACGAATTCCGATGACATATAATAAATAAGCCATTTCTGTGGAGAACGCAAATAAATGGGAGGTAGACACGGGTCGACTTCGCGCCAGAAGCACATCAAGCGATGGCGAGGCATCTGTTTTCCTTCTGTTGATCGAATATGCCTTCCATTATGCAAAGTCGCCTTGGGGCGGCGGCTCCATCAGAAAAAGGCGGCCATCCGTCAAGTCTAATCTGGACGTGTCGTGTTATCATAGGGCGGCGGGAGAGAAATGGTCCGCTGGTCGAGGAACAGGTGCCGAACTGCGCCCGGCGCCGGGCCGGGGGTGTCAGGCGCTCCCCAACAGACCGGCTCACAGGTCCGGGTGGTCGCTCATATCGACTGACGGCAATAGGCGCGATGGGGAAGTAATTCTCGTGTAAGTAGATTATGCACTCGGTGCGATTGAGCTCGCTGATGGGTGCGGTATCAGGATTGCTCGGTGAACACATAAACGTCGCCATAGATAGTTGCTGGCAAGGTTTATCGTCATTTTCAATTCGCTTTAGAGCTTCATGGAAATGATAATAAGGAAAATTAATGTTATTGGAATGTATGCGGACTTTGCGATTGAATGTTAGATATGTTTAATAAAGTTGTATGTAAAGGCCTAGCTCAACTTCTTCGCCAGTCAGTATACTCTGAGTGGCATTCTTCCATTACAAGTTTTCTTCGAAATGACACATATTGCATAACCTAATTGAAAAGCTGTCGTTTAGCCTGCTTGCAAGTTTCTGTGAACGTAAACGTGCTCGGCTTTACCGATTGGCGTATGAGCTGAAAATTGCCTGCACGGTATATGTTGACAAATACACTCAGATTTATCATTCATTCAATGGTAAAGCTCTCAGAGCTTATCTGAGCATCACGAACATAGCGGCCGGTTGTCACAGACGACCCGGCGCAGCTGGTCAGCTGATATTGCTCTCACTAGATGTCACTACCTGCGAGCGCCTGAAATCATACTGCACCGCAATGCTCTACAAATCCGGCGTCCGGGCAATGAACTGAAAAGAGTGCTGGTTTGTAGCTGCTGGGAGCAGTCTTGACAGCACTATAGCGCAGTTCCGGCTAGGCGATGGAACTTTTTGTTTAATTATTGTTTGAGTAAGGTTCACAGTAAAACATGAACTATTAACAAGTTGTGAACATTGTAGGAGAACTTCATACCGTGCAATCAGCGTATGATTGATGCATCAGAGCATCGAATACAATGTAGACCTCGAGAAAAAAATACTCACTATGCCAAAGCGTTGAATTCGCAACAATAAAACTCAATTTTCCGCTGGTTATTTTTGTTGTTGGCAAGTTGTGTAATTGCATGAAGAATGTAGACCATTTTGTTTTCCTTTCACGTATTCACAATGCTATATTTGAAAAGCTTTTAAGCGGAACACTAATAGCTTAGCTCGTATCCTTCTGCAAAACGGAGCGTAGGTATGTCAAATAATATGATAATCTATTAATTGCAGATGGATATTTTAATGGATGCAGCCATGCAATGCTTTACGGTAGCTCTTGGTCATAACATTAAAATTTGCACTCGACTGTTGCCTTTGAAGCTAAATGCGATCAATTAAATAATTAATTATGTAAAAGTTCGTGTGCTCAACCTACCCAGGCCCGTCCTGCAATACCGACAACGTCCACGCCAGGCCAAGATCACACGGTTCATGTTGCGTTACAGATGGGAATACCATGACTCTACACTGAATTATCCAGTCTCAAATTGATCGCACGGTTCACCGAAATGTTCCCATGCAGCATCAATGAGCAAGGAGAATCATAACATCACTTGGCATGTCTAACAAGCGGTAGCACCGGATTTTGTTACGTAACACTTGTAACTTCTGTTGCGGGAAGCCGGAAGTCCGCCACTTTTGTATGGACCGTCGGCTGTCGTGCAGCCTTTGCTCTGAGGAAGTCAGCCGTGACCTTTGGTATCCAAATCCCACGATCGTAACTTTTAGATTTGGGAATCTCTGTGGTTCCAAGCACAACAGGTGATCTCTTACCTGTTGTTTCCTTTTATTATGATCAATCGTGTGTACTATAAGGTTTATTGGTATTTGTGACCTATCACCTGACCTCTCAGACATCCACTAATCCATGTCCTGAAGTCTGCAATCATTCCTATCGCCTATTGACTTCTGCCAAGTGAAATCATTCATCTCTGACCTCCGACCTGAGGTCATCTGTCACTCCCGCCGTCCCCAGCCCGGTCTGACCTGGGGTTGTCGGGCAGCGGCCGTCCGTCCAGGAACCAGGTGATTTGTGGCGTTGGCGAGCCGCGAGCAGAGCACGACAGGCTGGTGGGCCGGCCACTGTCCGTGGTCTGCTTCATAAATGATGACGTCAGCACGGGCGGCGTATCTGGCGGCAGCGGTCGCCGGCCCGGTCAGAGTGCAGTATTCATGGACAGGCCGGCTCGCAGACAGGTGCACTTTTTGCCGGCGGGTCAGAGAAAGGTCGGGTGAGAGTGATGATCGATGATATAGGCTGTTCCTGACCTTCTACCTGATGAACAGGGTGATGGCATGAGTGTTTTTGCGTGATTCATGAACATTTCTGCTAGTAATTCCGTTAATGATGATTAAATTTGAATTGGAAAATGCAAGCAAATAACTAGGGTATGCTGCAAGTTAAATGAGCACAATCAGCTTCATTATCAGTGACAAGTGAGCAATCAACTTGACGTCAGACCACATTGTCTAAATGACCTTCTGTCAGCCATCCCCATCGACGACGGTCGGCAACAGACCCCGTTATTCTGTAAGAAGTGGTGTGTTTGTGTAAGGCTGACAGCAAGGTGCAGTGAGTACCTATAGTGTTGTCACTTGCCAGCGGCACTCGGTATAGTGCTGACATTAGTCAACGGCACTCGGTATAGTGCTGCCACTTGCCAGCGGTACTCGGTATACTGCTGACATTAGTCAGCGGTACTCGGTACTCACTCCCAACGGAGATGGCCGCCACGGCCTGGGCCTCCTCTCGCAAAGTTCCGTCAGCACCGTTCCCCACCAGGCACTGGTAAACGCCGGCGTGCTCGGGCCGTAGTCGCTCCACGCGCCACACTGACCCGTCCGCGCTCAGGTCAGAGGTCAGCGGCCTCGTGTCCTTGAGCCAGGTCACCGGTCCGTGAGGCCCTCTGCGTGGCAACAGATCGATATCAGGGAATGTCCAGGGCGGAGATTCCTAATGTAAGTACATACATAAATACGTATTTACGTAATCTACGTGATTTACGTGGTCTATATCGTGATCTATGTATCTATGTGGCTCTGTTTATTGATTTTCTGCTCGCCTTGTACCTGGTAAAGTGCACACTTTTCATAAATCATGTCATAGTATACCATTGCTCTGACCGGAGCATTGGGCATTCATCATTTGTGCAATCATATTATTCCACCATAAATGCATGCTCCACTACCAATTCCTTCCAGTGCCTAGAGCTGGTGATATTTGCGGGAAATCCCGTCCTCGAAAATGCGGTACTGCACATTGATTGGAGATACAGTTCTTTCCCACTTGCACGTTTCAGACGCAAAACTGCACATTATTAACATCTGAAACATTTCACAGGGAAATACCGACGCTGCTGAATGAATGAAAACCCCTCACGAATGTAGCGACAGGCTTCTGACACCTGCACCGCCCTGACGAGCGCGGATGTCTGCAGTTTTCCAGTACGGGCCACTGACGAACAATCGTGAACGTTATCGTGCTGTCACCGACGTGTTGAGCACGTAGGACATACGGCCTCTTTCAGCGCAAAATGACGCGATAATAAGGCAGTTATAAGCACCACCTAAGCGTGGTACTGCTATGCAACGGTCAATCGAAGCATGTGCACTGTAAGCAGCTTAAGGATAGTCAGTACAGTGCAGTGGTGCTTGTAGCTATTTAACATGGAATATACGACCCACCTATCCAGCAACGCATACCCACTAAACGAAGGCTATAATTAGAAAATAAACAATACAATCAAATGTTTTCTAAGTTACTTTTTCTGGTGAGCGATAGCTTCCTTTTCCTTTTCTTTTTTGCATCCACGAGAAGGCGATTTTCAAACGACATAAATTGAATGGTTGCATCAGCAGTCAGCACCTAATTGTTTCGGAAACGGATGCTAGAAACTCATAAGTGACTACACATTTTTAGGCGCAATTTCAAAAATTTAAAGACCAAATTCAAAAAGTTTACATTCAAAATGCACGTGAACGTTTTGAATTTGGTCTTTAAGTTTTTGAAATTGCGCCTAAAATGCTGTAGATTGCATTTCTGAAAACTATTCACTTGCCATGTCTAGATAAATCAGACACACCTAAGTAAATTAGATGGAAAACTCAATGCGGTGTAGAACACCGAGCGCAAAACATTTGCTGTTTAGCCGAAACGTAACACGAGTCTGCTTACCTCGCTCTGGCTCTTGTTTTGTGTTGCCATTTCAATTATTTGCTACGGTGCAGCTACAAAGTGGTGCTCGGGGGCAATGGTACTCTCTTGTCATTTACGCTCGGATAATATTCCTTTCCTGCCGCCAGAAATTGGCCTGGCCGCAGCTGCTCTGCGCCGAATTAAGTGCGCCACTAAATTAGATAAGCACAGTTGGCCGGATATTTGGCATGGTGAGGAGCCAGCTACTTCATTAGGCGCTGGGCTAATGCGAGGACAATGCCTCATTAATGGCTCGTACCTCCCGAGTCCCGGCTGACAAAGTTATCTCCCGTCATGCAGTCCGGGCAAACTTTGTCGCGGCCGCGACCCCGCTGTCTCGTTCACATCGTCTGGGACTTGGGCGGCTGAATTAGAGCAGCGTCGGTACCCGGGCAAACTGCAGGTCAGAGCGACCCTTCCGGCGGTACCTTCAGCTTGTCACAACATCCTGCAGCTAAAATGGCCTCACTGCATAGCTGGAACATTGTTCTTTGATTGACGGTCAATGTATTCTTCAGTGTAGCAGCTTTATGTCATGTAAATGCGAGGTTCAATCGATGCAAATGGCGTATTCAAGAAAGCTTGAAACGGAGTTTAAGGAATATATCGTAATTAGAATATACATCTACGGGGTAAACAATAAAATAAAATCGAATGTTGTTGCAATATAAGAACATTTGATTATTTTTGGGTGATGCTTTTAGAAAACCCCACACAAATTGTCCTGTGTCAAGGGCTAAAAATTGCCTGATAAGGCTATGGGTCGATGTGATGTGACATTTTCATGTATAAATTGGTTTCGATAGCCAAAAATCAATACATTGACACCTGGATAACGACACATGAAATGCATCTTAACCTGCAAAATGTGCGGCCAGCACCATCTGAATAGGCCGCTATTCGGTCCGCTACTCGGAATGGCCTGAGCTGCAACAACTGTGACATGAACAATATGTAGCTGCTAGCTATGGCTTTGCATTGACACCATGCACCGGAAGAAGGTGTCTTTGTATGATACACGAAGCAGTTATGGTGTATCTTTCGGTTGAATTGTGGGTCATGGCGCAGCTGTGACCGATAGGTGTAAGGTGAATAAAAACAATGAGCTAACATAAGCCAAGCTAATAGCTGCAGTTTTCTTAACAATTCTTAATGTTTTTTTTTTGTTTTTTTTTTGCTTCCATAGATGTTCTCACCCGTGCACTGAACAGGAGAGTTTGGCCTCGGCTCCGACATCCACCGTGGCGTGGTTCGGGGTCAAGGTCACGTGCAGCGGCGAGATGACCTTGACAGTGACCTTGACCTCGGAGGGCCCATGGACGTTGGCGGCGCGGCACAGGTAGGCTCCCGAGTCGCGCCGTTGGGCCGGCTTCAGCGTTAGCACGGGGCCGTGCTGCACGGCTGTCACGGAGAGGCCGTCTTCGGAGACCTTCATCCACCTAGCCGGGAAAAACACACGGGGTATAGTGAGAGAAGGGAGCAGGAAACATAGGTACTGCAAGCCGCAAGGGCACACACATCACATATTCAGTCGAAACTTAAACAAGATCAGTGCATTTATTTTCTAACATCGAGCATAGGTGAAAAACAGTTTGATGGTAGGATGGCATCGTTTTGCCCACATTTATATTGCATTGGACTTTCTGGCTTGGTCGAACAGAACACAATTCATTCTAATATCATAAAAATATAAAACGTGTTCGATTGTCCATGCTGTTTGCACGAGGACGGTCCTCTCTAAGACTCGTTCTAATTGGGCGAGCAGCGCCGACGCATCAGCTCATCACCGCCCACTGGCTGAGATATCGTGCGTCGTCGGCAGCACGAGCTCCCGATCTGACTAAACCCCCCATCGGCAGGGTCTGAGGAGGCCACCAATTGCCAATCAGGGCCGCACCCTCCAAATACGCCCCGAAAGAGCACCGTCAGCTGATTCGCTGCTCGGTCTGACGCCGGACCAGCGTTCTCCCTCTCTGCGATACTCGGTGAGGCATGAGAGACTCTCTCAGAGCCTGTCCGGCTGATCAGGGGCGGAGCGGACGAGCCGTGGAGTTCCGTGTCCTGCCACACACCCTTCGTGCTGTTGCCATCGTCAAGCATTCCCTCTGACGGTCAGTCTAGCTAGACTGGGGACCGCCACTGACCGGTATGGCATCCCCGTCCCCTATCGGCCCTAGGGGGTGCTACCATGTCTGCCCTGGAGAGGTCGTTGCCTCTCTCCCTCCCTGGGGGCGGCGTGACGACAGATTGGCCCCCAGGCGGTGCTAGGGCCACTGCGGAGAGACAATGGGACGCGTCGACCGGGCCACTGAAGGCGATATTGGCCGGTGGAGGCGGACGGGAGAGCTGGGAGAGGTGGAGAGAGGACAGGAGTGCTGGGAGAGAGCGAGAGAGAGAGGGGCGGAGAGAGAGAGAGGGGCGGAGAGAGAGAGAGAGAGAGAGAGAGAGAGAGAGAGAGAGAGAGAGAGAGAGAGAGAGAGAGAGAGAGAGAGAGAGAGAGAGCGGATGAGGTGAGGCAGAGGTAGGAGGGCGCAGGGGAGAGGAGCACCGTAGACAGAGTGGCGTGTGCACCAGGTAAGTACGTTAATCTGTGTAAGTACCAAACTGACGTCGCAGCGCCAAAACCGTCCCCCACCAGTACCGACCGGACGGTGTGAGATGAGCGCTATCCAGCGTCGCATTGATGAGTTATGAGCGTTCAGGGATTCAGGCCGGCCGAGATTGCGCCGTCAGTCGACATGTCGGACGAAATTGCACAGGCAAAGAGAGCTCCAGAGTCATTTGTAGGTGAACGATTGGGGAAATGACGGGGCTGACAGGTCAAATAAGTCTGTCTGTGCTCCGATAATACAGAGACGAGATTCAAAGGGACGCAGTTTTACAAGGAAAATAGAAGCTTATATGGAACAGGATGCTATTCGAATTCGACGAAACGGCCTGTGTGTAGTTGCTCATCTTTTTTTCTAAAAATGACTTTGAATAGTGACAATCGAAAGATACCTATGCTTGAAGCTTATGCCAATGCTGAAAGCTTAGCGAATGATAAAAACTGGTATACATTTTATAAAATAGCAATTGAGTTAGGTAGTAACAAAATTAATCAATCAAACAATCAAATACCAAATCACGTAAACATTCAACGAACTAACTATGTCAGCATCAAGAACAATTGTCTGCTATCCATCCACCCATTCATACAATGTCATATACTCATCCCAGTTTAAGCACGACACATACCGAACATCCGCCGGCGGCTGTGAGGAGACCACGCAGGGCACCACCAGCGTGTCACCCTCTCTGACGGCCTCCTCTCTCCTCAGAACGGCGACCTGGGGCGCGTCAGGCGGCGGTTGATCTGCCGGACGATCAGGGAGCGCCAGAAGCCGTTAGAAACGAGCACGCGTGGTCAGGGGATGACAGAAGCCGTTAGGAACGAGCACGGATGGTCAGGGAGCGCCAGAGGCCGTTAGAAACGAGCACCAGTGGCGCAGCCAGGGGGGGGGGGTCAGAGGGTCAGCTGACCCCCCCGAAATTTTTGTCAGGGGCCCGCTCGAGAGAGAGAGAGAGAGAGAGAGAGAGAGAGAGAGAGAGGGAGAGAGAGAGAGAGAGAGAGAGAGAGAGAGAGAGAGAGAGAGAGAGAGAGAGAGAGAGAGAGAGAGAGAGAGAGAGAGAGAAAGAGAGGAGAGAGGTCCTAATCTAATCGGACGAGCCCGCTTCGAGAAATGCCTACAGATGCGGGGACACCACAGATGAGGGGTCGGCCTGGGGCCCCAGGTGGACGGGCCCGGGCCCCGGGTGGATGGGGCCCGGGTCCCCGGGAGAACGGGCACGGGCCCCCGGGAGAACGGGCCCGGGCCCCCGGGAGAACGGGCCCGGGCCCCCTGGGTAGATGGGACCCTGGCCCCCTGTGGTTGGGTCCGGGCCCCCGGGTGAATAGGGCCCGGGCCCCCGGTGGATGGGGCCCGGGCCCCCCGGTGGATGGGTCCGAGCCACCGGGAGAACGTGCCCCGAGCCCCGGGTGGACGGGGCCCGGACCCCCGGTTGGATGGGCCCCGGGAGAACGGGCCCGGGCCCCCTGGGTGGATGGGGCCGGGCCCCCGGGTGGATTGGGCCCGGGCCCCCGGGAGAACGGGCCCGGGCCCCCTGGGTGGATGGGGCCCGGGCCCCTCGGTGGATGGGTCCGGGCCCCCGGGAGAACGAGACCCGGGCTCCTGGTGGGTGGGCCCCGGAGCCCCGGGTGGACGGGGCCCGGAGCCCAGGTGGACGTGGCCCGGCCCCGGGCCACCGTGTGGAGAGGGCTCGGGCCCCCGTGTGGATAGGGCCCGGGCCCCCGGGTAAATGGGGCCCGCTAGGGTGACCCTCCTGCTCCGCAACGCGAATTAGGGGTGTTTTCGATTGGTGGGCGTTTGGTTGGTCTTGTGTCTGTGGGTTATGTATCCATTTCGGTCGACACAGGCCATTTTGCGTCCTTCGACGGCACAAGGGAGGGAGGGTACGACCCCCCTGTTTGGCCCATGATCAAGCTAGAGCTTCGCGGAAAAGGCGAGCGTGTTGCCCGTGACCAGAGGAAGCCGATGATACCCAATTTTAAGGTCCTAGGTCATTGGTCGACCTTCCAGGTCAGGTCAATGACCCAATAGTCGGGAAAATCGGGACCTGTTAGAACGTCGTAAAATGTGGCTGCTATAGGGTTTTCGGGGTGCTGGTCAAGAATATTATGTTGGTTTTGATCACAGATGATGTTTTTATGCATTTAGGCCAGGTCGGGTCAGGTCAACCAGTAGGGGTCCTGCCGGGTATTCGTTATCTAGGTACGTGTCAACCGCCTCTGACAGCTTCGTAACATGTTACGAAGGCACCAAAGCTACTTCTTAAATGTTGAAATGGTTGCTAAATTCGAATTCAGCTCCAAAAAACTAGCCTAGAAACATGCATAATTTGAAAAGTGCACCGTGGTCATCATAGGTCAATGACCTGACCTGACCTTCAGGTGACATTGACATCCACCTTATGTATGGAAGCAACATCAAATCACGAACGCTTGAAACCACAAAAGGACTGCAAACGCGCGGCTAATGCAAGCCGGCATATACGCCGAACTGGGATTCTGGCCAAACATGGTCTAGGAAAGTACCATAGGTAGGAAAGTAGGTCGGTCAAAGGTCATTTGGGTCAGGGTCATGAATTTTCACGTAATGAAGAAGAATCAGTACAATGTACTACAGCAGCCAATAGATGACTTAGGACAGGCACATTGGGACTTGTCCGACAGAAGCAGGCAACAGTTCCGGTTGCATACCTATCCTATATGCTATGCAGTATGCATATTGCGGAAGGGGTACATTCCATCCTCGAAAGATACGAATTCGTACGTCATAGTAACACATTTCTGTCGTGGTCAATTTGCGTAAAAATTGAACAGCGGGTGATTACCGAGCTATTGTTCTATCCAACTTTTCTGATTCAAACTCGCTCAGGGTTATCGTGCAGGTAAAGGGGGCCCGCTCAGCAGAATGTGTATGAAATATGGAGAGATTCTGAAAAAATGGGTGGGGGGCCCGCACACTAGGGGGCCCGCTTTGGAGGCGATGACCCCCCCGAAACGAAATCCTGGCTGCGCCACTGACGAGCACTCATGTTTTGTAAGTGAGGGTCACGGTGAAAATGTAAAATTATGTGCATAAACGCCTACGCAATGCGCAGTATGAAAAATTAATCCCATTGTAGAGAAGTTTTGCACATGAAAGGCGATGGAAATGTTAGCTCAGTTATGCTCAGTTCAGTTAGAAGTTCGACTGTCAAATGCTCCGTCAACCCTACCATAGAATGTCAACCAGACACAATGGCGAATACAGGAGCCACTTTCAGCGGTGGAATGGCTCCGCCAATCTTCTGTCCATGTCAAACGACTCCTAACGTCTGCGCTCACGACGGGCCGCCCCGCCCACCCCCGTTCCAACAGACACTGACTGGAACGGATAGTAACCCTCGCCCAGCCCACCCCTCCTCCACACGTGGTCCATATCGTCCACGTGTTGGCGCGTCACGTGCCCTCGGGGAGTTGATGGTGCATAAGTTGGCACGTGGCTGTCAATAACCGACCCGGAGGAGTTCCAGCAGCGCCGTGTTAGAACAGACGCAGCTCGTCTCCGGGAACCCAGCGCCTATGTTGAGAGCAGCCCGTCGTCCTCCAATACTGAGGTACCGCGCTCTGCACTGAACAAAAATAAATAACACTGGCGCCCGTCAGCACGTATTGCCGCATGCCGTAAGAAACAAAATTAAGGAAAAAAGCAAACACGTATTGCAAGCGCAATCTCAATCACAATAGTCTTTTCCCGAACAGGGATTGAAATGCTCAGTCTAGCATCGAATCAAAAGCGGGAAATGGCCTGCAGTATGAAGTCAATCTTACCCACAGACGAAACACATTGAACATTCCACTTATCCACGCGAGTGAGCAAAATAAAGAGTGAAAGAATCACAGTCAACCATGCATCAACAAAGAACACCCATTTTATTCCAAGCTACATAAATACGTTCTTCGATGACAGCTATAAAAGCTGAATTACTTCTGAGTAAAGAATGTGAGATCCTATTTCTTCCTCTCACGCAACGTTTAGAAATACGAGCTCAGTTATTACACTCATCAGCGCTATAATCATTGTTCAGGGCCAGGCTCGGGACAGCAAATCTGAAAGGAAATTGGCCTGTTACAGATGAGTTCGTATCGACATCCACTGACAAATTACACATCGACCTGGCCTGGGACCGACACCGAAATTCGTCAGCACCACCGACTGGCTAGCTAATTACGATATTGGTTTTGTATTGCCCAATGCACTCGCATGATGGCTGTTTATTTGCACCATTGGCATCCGAGACAAAGTGAAATCGGATTCAGGAGAGTGAAGTAAATTACGTTAATAGGCTTACAGAAATCGGGTATTGTCGGCGGGCTGTTTCTGATGAATGAGATAATAACTCAGAAGCAAATTACCATCCGTTGCAGCAGGAGTCCACGTAGGATAGTTTCGTGATTAGTCTCAACAACTATCATCAGTAAAGATTCTAATGATCAAACCACCCACATCTCATCCACCCACCTCTCGGAATTTCGTTCATTAAAAAAAAATCGACATAGAATGCAGCAAACGAGCAACTGTAACAAAGACCCGTATGTATTCCCTACAGCTAGTCGTCGGTAAATCGATCTAGTGTTCCGGGCGGTTCTGGCAGGAGCACACTGCCACTCATGTCTCCATCCGTGCCATGACCTTCTCCTGAAACCTTTCCACGGCGCGCCGGACCGTGGCGGAGTCCAGGGTCAACCGGTCCCCCGGGGTCGGCGTGGGGGCGGGGTAAGACGGTAGCAACGATCGGGTCGGGTCTGTTCGGGGCATAGTCGAGTCGAGCTGGGCCGAGTCTGTCGGGGGTTTGGTGGGACTAAGTCTGGTCGAGTCGGGCTGACTTTCGTCATGTCAAGTGAAGCGGGACTGGGTCGGACCATGTTTGGTCCGGTCGGGTCCGATTGGGCCAGCTCTGCAAATAGTTGGGTCGTATCTGATCTGATCTGATTGTCCAGTCTAGTCGAGTCAGTTCCTCACCTCGGTATGGCCATCTTGGTCGTTGCGCTGGTGCTCCCGCCCCTGTTGTGTGGGGTGTTCCGGTGTGTGCCCGAGAAGGGTCCCTGGAGATGCCACTGCCGTGTCCTGCCCTCCGGCGCGGTGGTCGGACGCTGAATTCCTGGTCCTTTGGTGGGCAGTTGGGGTCGGACGCCAATACACGCTGGAACGCCGAACGCTACGGTCGCGTCTCACAGTCGTGTTGGGACTGATCCGCGTCAGATGGGAGCGGGTCTGGTCAAGTCTGGTCGGTCCGGGTCTGGTCTGGTCGGGTCTGGCCAGGTCTCCGTCAGCTCCTTACCTCGTATGACCACCTTGGCCGCGTTGGAGCTGAGCCGCGTTTGTCCGGTGACCGTGTTGACCACTCGACACCGGAACGTGTGCCCCTGATCGGCCTCTGGGGCGCGCAGCAGCAGCTCACCGCTCGGAAGCATCACATACCGACCGTCTGTGGAACAGAGACCGTTCGTCAGGACCACCCGATATGAATCTACAGGCTGGCAATACTCTGTGGATTGACACCAGACGCTGAATCCGCACTCTGCAGTCCACTGATAAATGTGGAGAGCAGCCCACCACATAGTCGCCAGGTGCGGAGCATCTGGACCGCTCCAACAGACTCCAGTGGCATTTGCGGAGCCTGGCTAACGCTCCCAGAGCCCGGTTTGATAAGTGGGCTCGGCCCCGGAGCCTCCAGAGCTCTCGGTTGACATTCTGAATCCGCCGGCTGGCGGGTGCATAAACCCGGCAGTGTCGGTGGCCGTTGACAGCCAGTGTCATCCCGGACGGAGCATGAGACGACAGCGGCTGGTCGCGAAAGGTCCGCCCCAGTGCCGGTGAAGGGTGGCGTCAAACAGATGGGATGACGGTCGGCTCATATTGAATGGCGAGAGCATGGTGAGATGGAAAGGTTGTAATAGTAGGTGAGACGTTATATTATGCGAATGCATTATTATGATTGAAGTGTAGATGTACGGCTCTCCAGTAAAAGTCTTGTTGGTTTTGCTTTTTCGGACATATCTGGTCCTATATAATGTTTAAATGCATAAGTATCAACCCGGATTATGTGTATGCACATTTACCACGAGACTGTGAAATTTCATCGATGTATGCCAAATACTTTCCGAGATATCCACCAAAAACCTCATTTTCTGCCGTTTGGGGTATTCTGGCCGCAATCTTCCTGGGATCGCCTATGACATCCATGGTGCCATCTAGCGAGAGGGACGCGGAAACACAGAATCATGAATGAATCGAGCGCGTAGTAAACGGTGTATGGAAGAGAGACTCGGCAGAGGCTATCCGGGTGGCCGGCGCGCGGCGCGCCCTTAGGCATCGGCCGACCCTTCGGACCGCGTGGGGTCAGAGGTCGCGCTTGGGAAGTCTCGGCTCTGGGTTTTAGCGCTGTGCAGTCAGGAAGGGAGGGGAGGATAGCGCTAGCCCGACTGACTATGTAGTATCTCGGCTGATTCGTGTGGGGTGGAACGGATCACAGAACGGGATGGTGGCTAGTGGTGGATGATGGGATGGTGGTTAGGTTAGTGCGTACTGCGTAGAACGTAGCTGAACATGCTTTTTTCATGGCAAACAACATGCAGCATAATGTGCGGGATTATGCCAGAACTCATACAAAAAGGAACTAATATTTCGGCCGAGGGAGTAGATGAGTGCCGTGACAAAGCATGACGATGCTGCCAAAATCGGGATGCTTGTTTGCTCCCATTTTTTTTTTTGTTAAGTTTTAACCCTAACATGCAGCGCTTGATCCGAACTTAGAGGTCCCCGACTGACCTTGGACCTTAAAATCGCACCCGTCCGGTGCGCCACCTTTTCTTCAGGGGCGCTCTTCTTGGTTGTATCTGTTCTTACCAATAACTAAAGCAAATCGAATGTATAATGAAAAAGGCATACCTCAAACACAGTTTAATTCACATCCGCTCGTGTGCATGCTTGTTTTTACCTATAGGGGAGAGCGGGGCCAGTTGAAACACGGGGTCAGATGAAACATGGCTTTATTTTCAACAGTATGCAACATATGGCGTTGCCGACACCACTGCGCATCCGCGCTCGACCACTTCCTTTGACAACGGCGTTTGGGCGGCAAACGGACGGTAATGTTGATTTGACACTAGTTTTTGTGTTTTTGAGGGGCGTTTGGGAGAAATCGTTTTTATGAATATTTTGTGATATCTCATATACCTTTGTTTGCTGAAAGAAGAACTCCTGGCTCCGGAATAACACCTTATTTGGCCCTTCATTCAGCATGATGCCGTCCCTCCAGCTCGTTTGACATGTGCTTTACGGCGCGTGCGAGATGGCGGGAGCGGATGGGGTCAACTGAAACGCTTCTCTGAGGGTCAGTTGAAACAGGGCCACAATCCTTTTTAATGACCTCCTTACAAATTATTTATGTTTTTGATGTATTTAGCTTGATACAAATTTTCGGCCACGGGCCTTGATCACATATCAGTTTAAACACAGACACGAAAAAACACACAGACACCAATGCAGTTACAGTTTTGCCAGTTATTTTTTTCAATTTCTGTACAACTTCGCGTGATAAAAAAGCACAATATACCTACAGTTCTAAGGAATATGTTAGATGGGCCCAATAAAAACGATCATAGACAACCTAATAGGTCAAAAATTAACTTTAAATTCGTTTTCGTATTCGATTCATTCATCTACTTTTCAACGTTCACTCATGTACATGCACATAAAACCCGATAACTACATAATGTACCACGATGATACATTTCGATTCAGTTGCGGCTTTAGCTTTCGGATTTGTAGCGACTCACTTATCTTTCGGTGTGGATGGTCGCCGGTTTTTTGAATGATTTCCACCGTTAGAGGAATTACACCCCTTTGAAGTTCTAATTCTCTGTGAGCCGATCTAAAGTGATCACCAATGGGTGTGTCTCGGGTCTTGTTCTTGGCGTTTAAGACATGCTCATTAAAACGTAGCCTAATAGGCCGTTTTGTCTCGCCCACATATGTTACTTCTTCTCCACCTTTCTGGCAGACGCTACATGTGATTCTATACACTACACCTGCGGTTAGGCACTTCCCTTTCAATCCCGACTCACAAGTATTGCAAACTCGCGACCCTGCTGGGCACTTGGGATGGGAGAGGGCAGAACGTGTGAGGCGGCTTTTCAATGTGTTCTTGCTTTGCCAGGCTACTCGCAAGTTTAAATCAGTTTTTCTCACGATGGCATTGACTTTGGCACAGACGGTCTCGTCGATATATGGTAGAGTCAGGTACCCGTCTAGCTGCTGTACTTGCTGCTTTTTGTGGTGCCGGTGCTCTCCATTTGTCGTCGGATGTGTCTCTGCTCGGGTAGCCTCTCGTTGCAGCCTCCGCACCAACTGTTTTCTGTAGCCGTTTTCTTCGAATAGCTGCTGTATCTTCTGGCATGAGCGAGCACGTGCCGCTGTATCTGACGACAGTCTGATGGCGCGTCGAAACTCGGCTCGTATCACTGCCTGCTTGGTCTTCATGGGATGTGATGATGTTTGATGGATGATGATCCCGGAGTGATTTGGCTTTATATATAGCTCTGTTTGGTACTTGGAATTTGAGTTCACAGTGATGAGAGTGTCCAGAAACGGTACGTTTCCAGACTTACTGCTATCTTCCAGAGTGAACTTGATTCTCGGGTGGATGGAGTTGAGGTACTCGAGGAACTTGTTCAGCTCGTCCCGTCCGTGAGTCCAGACTCCAATGGAGTCATCAATATAAGAAGTAACATATGTGGGCGAGACAAAACGGCCTATTAGGCTACGTTTTAATGAGCATGTCTTAAACGCCAAGAACAAGACCCGAGACACACCCATTGGTGATCACTTTAGATCGGCTCACAGAGAATTAGAACTTCAAAGGGGTGTAATTCCTCTAACGGTGGAAATCATTCAAAAAACCGGCGACCATCCACACCGAAAGATAAGTGAGTCGCTACAAATCCGAAAGCTAAAGCCGCAACTGAATCGAAATGTATCATCGTGGTACATTATGTAGTTATCGGGTTTTATGTGCATGTACATGAGTGAACGTTGAAAAGTAGATGAATGAATCGAATACGAAAACGAATTTAAAGTTAATTTTTGACCTATTAGGTTGTCTATGATCGTTTTTATTGGGCCCATCTAACATATTCCTTAGAACTGTAGGTATATTGTGCTTTTTTATCACGCGAAGTTGTACAGAAATTGAAAAAAATAACTGGCAAAACTGTAACTGCATTGGTGTCTGTGTGTTTTTTCGTGTCTGTGTTTAAACTGATATGTGATCAAGGCCCGTGGCCGAAAATTTGTATCAAGCTAAATACATCAAAAACATAAATAATTTGTAAGGAGGTCATTAAAAAGGAATTTATCAATCACCTACATGCCTTACATACAAAGAGCACTACAAGAATTAAAAGGGCCACAATCCGTTTCAATGGACCCCGGTGACCTTTGCAATGGTTATTGTTCAGGGACTGTAAACATTAAAGGAAATAGTCCACCTTTGAAATGAGCTTTTAAACTGAAAACTTAGTTTAATAGAGCTCAATTTTTGACCCCTTTTTCTCCAGCCTTTTGCTTGAAAGCACACTATAGCCTGAGATATTTATCATTTTCCTCATCCGCCCATTTTACCATAGTCTATGAACTTTATGTCACCTATTATGAGGAACTTTGCACTTTTAGCTTTCCAACGACCTATTGAATGTAGCATTTGGAAAAGTAAACCGGACAAAATAACTCCTTAAGAAACTGGCCTTAAAGAGGAAAACATCCCATTGTTAAGGATAGGTGCAATTGACCCCATGGGCTGGTTCAATTGACCCTCGCATCGGGGTCATTTGAAACGGGCGTAGAGCTGTTTTATAAGCATGCGTTTGGCAGCAAAATATTTTTGAAACATAATTTTACATATCTTAAAATAAAGCCAAAAGAGCATATTTTTTCATGGTATTGTGCATTTTTCGATATGACAACTAGATCTCGCTGTGCATGTCAATATATAAAAAGTGGATCAACTGGCCCCGCTCTCCCCTACCTTCTCGCATCATAATATATCACTTCAGTGCTTAACCTTCAACGGAATTTTGGGTTTTCTGCATATACCCCGGCCGAGGGGGGGGGGGCGATTACGACCCCTCTCCGTCTTTTTGCCCCTAATTGAGCTAGCGCCTTGCGGATAAAACTGAGCGCGTGCGTCGTATGAGATGCAGCAACTGGTACCCGAGTTGAATGTCTCATGTCCACCGATAAACTCTGAGGTCAGTATAAGTGCTCCAAGTCGCGGGATCGGTTTTTGGTAAACAACTTCACCTTAAGTGGTTACAGAGCCAAGAGTTTTGCATGCTTGAACGCGTCGAATAGTTTACGCTTTGTTTTTGTTGAGGTCAATTTAAGGTGTTTACCTCAGGTCATGTCAGGGCAGAGCCTCTCAGGTCACGAGGCTGACTCAAGGAGGTCATATCGCTTCTTCGATGCGGTAGGTCCTTACAAGTCCACTGGTGGCTTCCCGACTCGCTAGCTCAATTTGATCGGGACTTTTTGGTGAAATTTCCTGTGACCTTAGTGACGTCATAAATGAAGTCGCCTAACGTTAAGAATGGAAAAGTGAATGCTGGCCACTGGGGCTTGCAAAAAGTGTATAAAATCGCGAAATCATGCGCTTGAGACAGCTTTAGATGGCTCCCGGCGCCAAAATAACAGTTTTCATATTTCCCAATTGATTAATAATCGTGAGGTTGCGTGACCGACCTGACTTCAGGTGACTCTTAAGAAAAATACGAGATAGCTACCTGCTACATACAAGTTGTGAGGCCTCTGGGAGATAGTGATCATATAAGCTTCATTCCCGTTGAAAAGTCCCCTGGCACGAAGGGTGCTGCGACGTCGCGACATTTTGGGGCCTTACAGATGTTCACTTTTGACGCCATTGGTCAACGGCCTGACCTAAACCTTCGCACTTGTAGGAGGGTGTCGAACAGACCTCCTACCCTCAGTTTTTCGCAAATAACTCGCGCAAAAAGCGGCTGATTGCGACGAAACTTTCAGTACCCTCGAGTTAATCAATATAACGCCTACCCTATAATTTGTATGACCCTGACTCAAAAGACCTTTGACTTGTGACCTGTTTTCCGAGACCATGTTTGGCCGGAATCGCGTGTTGGCGTATTTCGAGTAGAGCGCGTTTTATTGTCTTTTTAGCTTTAAGCGATCAAACATGTGAAAGGATGTTGATCCCATGGATTCTAGTGGGTGCCAAGGTCACGTGAAGATCAGTCAGGTCACTGACCTTTGATGACCTTTGTTCACTCTTTCGAGTTCTACATGTTTCTAGGGTAGATTTTGGAGTTGATTTCGCATTTAGAAACCGTTTGAGCATTTAATAAGTAGTTTTGGTTCTTTCGTAACATGTGACCTGACCTGACCTGACCCGACCTGGCCTAAATGCACGAAAACATCATCTGTGATCAAAACTAACTTGAAATTCGTGGTCAGCACCCCGCAAAACCCTATAACAGCTTCACTTTACGAAGCTCTAACAGGTCCCGATTCCCCGACTTTTGAGTTATATTGACCTGTCAACCAATGACCTATGACCTTAAAATTGGGTATCATCGGCCTCCTCTCGTCACGGGAAACACGCTCTTTTTCCGCGAAGCTCTAGCTCGATCAGGGGCTGAACGGCAAAGGGGTCCAACGGACCCTCCCCCCTTTACGATAGACGCTGGCAAAACACCAATATGGGCGAGGGTGAAAGAAAATACAGCTGCTGTCATAAAAATTCACCTTGAATCAAAGGTCAGGCTTGCCAAATTTCAGCTCTCGCAGCTATCAACAAAAATAAACATGTGGAGGCGGCACCCGCCTCCCCCCCCCCCCTCCTCTCGGCCACTGCCAGCGAGGTTTTAGGCGTATCATACACGCTACAAAGTAGAGGTGGCAAAATGTGGACCCGAGGACCCGGTCCAAAGAACCAGTCTGGACCCATATGGGTCCAGACCGGTTCCTGGAAATTTTCTGACGGGTCCAACCGGGTCCTACCATAAACTATACATCTTGCCCACTACACATTATTGCAAAATATGAAGTGAATGAAGTGAATGCTTCTTTGCACACAAGCTCATGAGTATTCCCAGTGGGAAATTGTTATACATGATGCAACTAATGATGTCTACAAGTAATTTGTATTAATTGACTTTTGGGGACCGGGTCCAACTGGTTCCGATTCCAACTAAGACCGGGTCCGACTGGTTCCAGAAATGTCCAGCCGGGTCTGGTTCGAGTCTGGTTCCCAAAATTTTCATCTTTTGCCACCTCTATTACAAAGCATCATATCAAGATGACACACCCCAGCAGCCATGTGCACTGAACAAAAACTTATTACCCTCGCTAGCCTATCGGCACCATAGCACATGGTCGAGACTGTCGTCAGCCGCGGACTCGCACTCGACCAACCCTCTGAGCCCGTTGACTGCGGGTGACCTTGACATGTCAAGCCTGATCGGCGGCCGGCCGCTGTCGTGCGGTCGTTACACGCGAGGGGAGGGAGACACAAAGCTCTACGTTATAGCTGACCTCTGACCTTTCCCTGCGCCCTGGTCACTGACCCCGCTCCATGTAGCTGGGCGGTGGCATGGCGGTGGAAACCGGTTCTAGCCTCTACACATGCCACCATTCTAACCCTCCCCTCCCCACGCTACTACGCGGCGTGGAGTACGCTCGTGCGTAACTGGGCGGAGCAAGGGGTCACGCGATACAGGGGCGGAACTGGTTGCCCTCCCGCTCGCCGAGCGACCAACGACTAATACCCTGGAGAACCGTACAGATGGGTGTTCGTTCGAACAATGGTTATGGCAAGGAAAATAAATAGTGCAATGTAAAACATAAGCATACCTTGTACCATAAATGAATTGGCTCATGAATCAATGTTACTTGCATGCGATTAGAACATCAGGGCGTACTAGGCATGCGTATAAAGGAGCATTTTGCAGGGCGCTAGAATAAGAATTAATGTTTTGTTTTGCTTTTTAGCGCGGAGCCGGTACAGTTATGTATGTAAGTACACCATTTTTATTTAGCCATTTGACACGTAAAAAACTAACCATTTTCGTCTTACAAAAAGCATTGACATAACAGAATGTGTGATAGGTAGGTGTAGGTATCACCCTCTCCACCGGTCCTCAGCGTGACGTTTGCCTTGTCCATCCAGCTCCAGCGTTCTACATTGTAGAACTAGCCCAGAGGAAAATCACAATCCCCCTCGCACACTCTCACACATTCTACAAACACGCCGGTTAGACTGACCTGTGTCGTCGCTGGGGTAGATGTTGAACTCGTCGTCACGCACCCACGAGGCCACGGTCACGTGACTAGTGACGTAGCTGGGCAGGTCACAGGTGAGCAGAGCTGGTCCGCCGGCCGAAGCGAAACTATCCCGCACCAGCAACTCGTATGGACGGCTCAACACTGGTGGAGGGAGCAGGGTGAACCAGGCTTTAGCAGTCTGATAAGTGCTGAGTTGAATTATCATGTGATAAAAAAAATACGATGCCCTGAGTGAAACTACTGTTTTGAGAGAGAGAGAGAGAGAGAGAGAGAGAGAGAGAGAGAGAGAGAGAGAGAGAGAGAGAGAGAGAGAGAGAGAGAGAGAGAGAGAGAGAGAGAGAGAGAGGGGGGAGGGAGGGAGGGATAGAGAGAGAGTGAGTGACTGATCGTTGGCAATAACATTAACCAGCGCATAAATACACGTATTTATGGGGTCATTATTTCTATCGCCACCGTACCAGCCGGGCTGTTTACCACCACTTTAGCAGCCGTAATAGTATTTCAGCGAAGCGGCGTCCACTGGCGGAAAGGCTCTCGGGGATGCCGTGTGCAGCACTGCAGACGCTCCGATCCAGATAAATGGACCTCTTCTTTACCACTCTTCGAAAGGAATGGCCCCGAGGAAATCTTCGCCCGAGCATGCAGAGGCGGTCAAAGTGATCTTAACTATGTTTAGCTTTTCCATTACGGAACTGTCGGAAAACACGGTGCTCGACTTCGGTGTGGCATTGATCCGACTGGCTTCTCTCTCCACTCGTGGCCCTGAGGCAGTTTTTTTCGGTCGCTCTTAATGTGTCGGAGACAGACGCCGTCCCAAATATAAAGCCAGGTGGACTCATATTAACTATTCCCACTATAAATGATGCATATCAAAAGCGGCCAGATGTTGACTTGAACTATATGTAGTATGCAATCTCCTGAAAGAAAATTATTACGTTAACATTCCTAAATTTTCAACAGCGCGAGCTCTCACCTGCCCAGACCCTGACGGGAAGGCTGATGATGGCTCCCGCGCTGTTGGACGCCATGCACCTCAGCTCAGTCCGATGGTAGTCCGGGTTGTACATGTCGCTCGTGAACGAAAAGTACCTGCAATAGACGACGGAAACCATGCCAAGCGAGTTGTGCTCACTTACATGTGTGCCGAATTTTAGTCTTGGTCGAAAATCGATATTGATCCAAACCTAACTTTCTTAGAAAAGAAAAGAGAAAATGGTAGAAAAAATATAAGATATAACGCTTATATTCCACAAGTAATTAGAATGCTTACAAACGCAAAGCCTGTTCATTCAGTCAAATTTTTGGACAGGAAGATTAATTGTGTGGCTTTTTTATTTACGAGAGTATTGCCCAACGTAAAATGAGTCAGCAATTACACAACTTAACCCTATTAGTGGCAGGCTCCTGGCTACCCCTATTAGTGGCAGGGGGGGCTGTTTACGACCCCCCTTGATATCTCGAGATCTAACGGGCCGATTTTCAAAATTCAAACGGCATTCGATTTCGCTCAACGTGATCTACATTTCTAAAAAATAAAATAAAAATTAAAAAATGTCAATAGGGGGGGGGGTAGAGGGGGGTAAAAACGGGCAAATTGCAGATACATTTTAGACTGTTTATCACGGCCAGGTTTCTGAACCAATCTTAACGCAACTTTTGCCGATCGATAGAGAATGAACCAGGAATTCACATGGATCCTAAAAATATGCATTTTCAAAAATCATAGGCGGATACAGATAATTGAGATTGGGGGTACACAAAAAGTATAGTAAATAAGGTTTTTGTTGGTACTGTTTCTAAAAAGGGTGGCAATGGTCTTGTTATGTTACAATTTTCTTATGAGAAAACGACTACAATTGTATTGGTCATGCATAGGCGGTGTCAGGGCACCTATGTTGGGAGGTAAAACATAACCCCCCCCTTTTTGGACGCCTGGATCCGCCTATTATAGCAAAAACGTGTCAAAAGAGGATGCACAATAACTTTGTATATGTTATCACATGATACCTTTCATTCAATGTTCGTAAAACTGGTGTATACAGTTATAATACATCAGCATCGTGATCTTCGCCCCAAATGACTCGCTTCACGAATAGGACCCCCCAATTCCCAGTGCTCTGGAGCCGCCCCTGGTAAAGGTATGAACTTGAAATTTTCAGGAAATGTGCCCAATTTAGTTTAAAGAAAAGTCAGAAAATTTCAGCATCGTAGCTTCAGCGGTTTCGGAGATATTCCCGAAAAACCTGAGGGGTGGATAAAAACAACCCCCCCTGCCACTAATAGGGTTATAATGCCACTAATTTTTTTTATAATTCATCCTTATGCACAAGTCACAACATCCCAGCCCTGAAAATTCCATTCGGAGACGTAAAATACACGTTTGAAACATATTAACACCTTATAAGAAAATTATATGCATTATTAAATTAAGTGCCTCATACAAAAATTATGTAGCAGTTTATGACCCATGGGCGATGAGACCCTGGCATAAGTGCAGTTCAAATATTCCCCCGCGCAAAAGAAGAGCATATTGCTTGCCCGCTATGTTCGAACGCCCCTCCACGCGATAACCATGAGCGGACTGGGCGCACCTGCCTGCGGTGGTAGTCTGTACCGCCGAGCACAAGTGTCACGCGGTACAGTCTACCACCGCAGTTGTTACTGGCCGGCGATCGCCACAGCTATAGCCACTTAGCGAGATGTGGAAAGCATCTCTTTTGTCGTATGAATTGAATTTTCCAGTGATGGTTAAGCACTATTGTCCTACCTACATTCTAATGACTAAAGAAAACTTGCACTGATTGTGCACTTTGCAGATTTATCGTTGGGTGGCTGCATGCATCATAATGATTACTAAATGGAGAGATTCTATCCTGTTTCTTTGATCTCAATGTTGAAACGAGTTGTCTTACGTCACTTTCCTTCATCTCACCAAAGCAACAAAGCTGACAAATGCAAACCCAGGCGCATAACTTATATACTCTTCGTTATAAATACTATAACATGAATGTCTACTGAAACATCATATCCAAGTGAATTCACACTTCACACGCACACACCACAGAGCGCGGGGCAATAACTCGAGCGCTGCTCCTATTTCTCTGCATGAGCGCCAGTTTATGGGAGCGCAGCTCGGGCAGGCAGCAGAGCCGGTGTCCCGAGGGACCCAGGCCTCGTCCTGACCGGCTGCCCCTGCCAGCTGCAGCACGGCGGCCCGGTTCGACTGCAGGCACGCGCCGCCCAGGCAGCCAGCAGTGGCACAACGGCTCCAATGAGCACCTGGCAAAGTTCTGACGCAAACGGGACGTTCCGCATGTATATGACGTCGTACAGCGCGGCAGTTGTTTCGGCAAACCACTTACAGACGAGTTAACTTTGCAGTTTGCAAAACGAAATTTCACAATTTGGCCACCATGATGGGCTTCGTAATTTGATCCAATCACCCGATAGTTTGGGGGCATGTTTGGGAATAAACTTATCTCACTCTTCGGAATAACATTGTAATTCAGTTACGATCATCACCAGGGCGCATCGAGCAGCTACAGCTGCGCCCACGCTGCATTGGTGCTTTCTCAGGCATTATATTTGCTACCAAAGTATCGCTCGTCTATCATATTTGCCCGTAAGTTTAAGTGATACCTAATGGAAGTATATTGCATGCATCAATAAAGATATATCGATTGAAAAGCAGCTGTTAGCAAAAGATATATTGGTATTGGACTCATTATTAGACTCATATTGGATTATATAACTCATCCGACAAAAAGGACATGATCCCCGAGACATGTCACACTGACCTGATTTGCCCCCTGTCCACCAGCCGTATGCCGGGTACAGAGGTCACCGGCCGTCCGTCGGCCGTGACCCAGCTCAGTGCAGGGGTGGGCGACCCGTCGGCGCGACATTCCAGCGCCACGCCCGTCTGTCGGTCGAACACCCCCGCGTCGCGTGCCGGCAGGGCTGTGAAGCTGGGCCCGACACCCTGGTCGGCGCCTCGCTCCGGCTCGGCTGGGGGCACACGGAAGGAGGTCCGGTCAGTGCGTGGCAGGCGGGTGTTAGTCACGGCACACACGGCAACGGCAGGGGTATCTACGAGGACCTGCTGAGTGCCGATGGACGGGTGAATAGGAACTAGATTCATGAAGATTACACAGAGGAAGAATATGTGCCTATTGAGTTGCAACGGCTTTGTGGAGTTCATAATTGGGTACCTACACAGAGACGGGCAGAGCGCGGGCATTTTCAATATGATTCCTGGAACAGTAGTCTCAAAATTTGGAACTAAATCGCATTCTACCTAGGAATGATAGAATTATTTAAATTTGCCTCGTGCAAGGCCACCTGACGCTCAAAGAGAACGACACAAGTTCAAGATGTCTCCATTTCTGCGCGTGATATTTAAAGGTACGGTTGAGGAGATGAGATATCGTATTGATATTTTTGGTTCAGACAATGCCCTGTTTTGAAGCTAACTTAGCCGCATTGCTTGGCTTTGGGTTTAGAAACTGAAATTAGCATGTGCTATAGGAAAAATGCTTCATAAAAAGAAGGCTGTTTTTATGCAATTTGATTTACGCAACGTTACACTTAAAACTAGGGACAAATAAAATATAGTCAATAGTCATATAGAAAAGCTTTCTGGAAATACTGTTTGCATCACAGACACCATAGTTATTTACGTAGGCCTTCAACCTGCTTTAGTATCGTCATAACATCATAGTCTGGTGGCTCGTATCAGAAACTTGGTAAAAATATTGCAGAACTCAAAGCTGGTCTTCTGAAGACCCGTTCGAAGCTTTCAGATATGTCTCGGAAGCTGAAATAATGCTTCCAACTTCCGCCCCAGTTTATGATACACTCACTGGCGTCGGTTGACTACAAACAACATCAACCTTCAGGCAACAGCGACGATCCAGTCCGTGTGCCCTTAGCCTGAAAGTCGAAAGAGAGTTTTCCGCATCCGCGATCCCATATTCTAACCCAGCAAACAGTATTGGTTAGGTACAATATCCAATCTAGCCAAACTTTGATGCCTGATCTCACTGCATGAGTGCCCCGTTTCCTCTTCCGTCTGGACGAGGACACGGTACAAGAACAATCCGTTCACTCCTAGTTCTACCGCGATCAGTGCATTGGATGTAAATCGGCATTGATCATTGGTCAGCCAGTCTTCTGAAGCATGGCTTGAGTTTTACATAATTGCTAACAAGCCTTTATCATCAAAATCATAGCTAAATAATGGTCTTTCATGTGTTCTGTCCTACACGCATATTCTATTCCTCGCAACCGCTTTTCGGTTGTCGATGGAAGTCTAATGTATATGCTATTATCACTTGCACGGGCACAACAGCGCGATACTGTTACTTTAGCCTATAGGTATCGCCTTCACCGCACACAAACTCTGGGTCATGGATGAGAAAACATTTCAGGAATACAGAAAGGTTCAAACACTTTTATTTTTAGATAGGTATGTAATATGTATGATCATTTATGAAGATTAATTATCGAAATCATAATTTTTTAAGGAAAATGTAGAATTTAAGTCTCACGACACATTGAACGAAAAGAGCTATGACCGAGATAAAAGTGATTTCAATGAACAGAAATGGGTTAATTGACCTTAAATGGACAAACTTTCATTTCTCGAACTCTGTTGATGAGGTTGACGCTGAAAGTTTTCCCTGCGATTATTAGTCGGAACAGCGTCAAAACTTCCGAAATCTTTTCTGCTTCTTTCATCTCCTCACTCCTCCCTAGAGTCTTCTCCTCTCCTTTTCCCTTTACATTCTTCAGTCCATTTAAATTAATTCAAACGACTTTATTCCAGCAGCAAACGCAAGTTAACGCGGAATAAAGTTCGGTTAAAGCCAATCGATGCTGAGAAAGCAACAGACGACGGTTATCCTAAAGCATTACGTAAAATAATTTGTTCAGCATTGCCGAGCATTTCATACCGTGGAAAAGCCATTATCTGCAGTTACGTTCCTCAATCATTCGTAGCGTGCAAGGCAATGGCCGTGCATTTTCGTGTAATTGGTCGTCCTTGCTGCCGGCTTCAATGCCGTGCTGCTGAAGGTTGAAGTGTGCCTTTGACCGTCGACTGGTGCGCAGTAGTGCAATAACGTTTGGTGAAGGTGCACGACGGCGAACGCAGCCCCAAGTATTGAACCGACTCGGACGGTCAATGGGCAGACACTGACCACGGCGGCTTGGCTCATTGGTAAATTCTGGTGAGGACAGATACGTACTACATAGCTAGTTAGGACTATATTTTCATTACCACGCATAAGCGATGTTGCAATATTTAATGCTAGGATGTTATTGGCTATAAATAACGGCAACTTAAGCTGCTTTAAAATCATCGAGGAGAGGCAGGCAGGTCTGCTGACTACATGGAGCTGCCAAACATTTCGCTACCGACCTGCGCCGTCTGAGGACCCCTTTATGCCGTACTTATCTTACGAGGGCCGGATCCGTGACCCCATTTAGCTCATGGTTTTGTCGAAACCCAGCAGTCACTGTCAGCCGTGACTGTGACCGAGTCCGGGGCAGAAGGTCGGGACCAGCTGCTCCCATCAGCGGCCCAGATGTCGTCAGTCTGTCTGTCTGTCTGTCTGTCTGTCTGTCTGTCTGTCTGTCTGTCTGTCTGTCTGTCTGTCTGTCTGTCTGTCTGTCTGTCTGTCTGTCTGTCTGTCTGTCTGTCTGTCAGTGTGTCTGTCTGTCTGTCTGTCTCAGCCGGCGGGCCACCAGCCAGCCCAAATGGATAGCCGGCGAATCTCGGCCAGCCTATTTGGTTAATAGGATATTCCACTGTGCGCGCCACGCTAATGGCCGTGCTGCCGCCTGGCTGGCATCATCTGACGGTAGGCAGAAGGCGAGTGGCCATCTCCACAGACTCCATCAGAGTTAGACGCCCTGTCCGGGACGAACATGCCTGTCCGGTGACGAGCGTGTCCCGACTTCTCTGTCCGGTGACGCATGACGACCCTGTTCGTGCGGTGACGCGTGACGATCCTTTCCAGTGACGACCCTGTCCGGAAACGAACCCTTCCAGTGAAGACCTGACGCACCCCATATGGGGCCGCGGTGACCAGCTCGGCGATCCGCCACGAATCAGAAACAGAGCAGTTGCAACCAGATTAGTCATTTGGGGTGCTGTGGTAACCCAATACAAATTAGGAAAAGAATTGAGGCAGCCAGATAACGCGCTTCACATTAGAGATCGAGTTACCGTGAACCGGTGACATTGCGATCTGCTACATATCAGGCACATATTATGTGACCCGGCGATCAGACACATCAGACACAGATTTTCTGACCCAGTGATCCAGGAAACACCAGACACAGATTCTGTGACCCGGCGACCCGTCATATGTTGCAGAGAAGGAGCAGCGGCAACTCGGTGACCTGTCGCATCTCTGAGATCGATTGGTGACTTCCGAACCGCGGGGCACCCATCACACATCAGAGACAAAGTTTAGAGAACTCACCACTGCAGCCCGCTCATAGGCGGAGCCGATCTGACGCCGTCAAGATGCAGACCCCCCCCCCCCCCTCAGCGCACGTGACTGCTCCCTCTCAGCGGGAGGAAGGGAGGGAGGGGAGGAAAGGGGACACCGGCCGCGTGCCGCGGCGGGAGCCTGACGACCACCCGGGGAGGAGACAGCCCCTCACTGCGCTGCAGGACCTCACCCAGTGAGCAACACAAGGGGACTGTGTCACTGCCTACGACCACTATTGCAGCTAGTGAATAAGTGGTTTTATCCGTCTGTCCTTTGGCTGCTCAATGCTCATCGACATTTTGTCTGAAATGTTTCCATTGCTGATATGCGATCTGTGTTCAGAAGTTGAAATGAATTGATGACGCTCAATCATATGGATATGGTCAGAAAAACGCGTCCCTGAAATCAACAAATGAATATTTCTGAGAAAACGCTGCGATTAATGACAGGTGTTATCTTCCACCTTCGTTGACAAGTGAAACTATGACACATTTTGTCCAGACATGACCCTAAGTTGAGAACGATCCCTTACTAAGGTCTTTTGAATACCACAATTCGCAAACGATAGTTTAGGACAACATTAAGCGTTAAAACTTAAAAGCACTACCCTTCCTTTCCTTTACGAAGCGGCCAGCCGGGCCGTAGCCAGGCAACAGGGAGCCAGCCAGGCATTATTGTCCTATATACGAGCCATTGACAAGGACGCATACCGAGCCACCTAGCCGGGCTGAATAGATCAACATAACCCCGCACTTCCGCATCGTGTGAGTGAGCAGTTACATGCCGTCAGCGAGGTAACGGGTGCCACTCAGGGAAGGGAGGGGGAGTGGAGTATGAGAGTTGCAGTGAAGAACGGCTTTACAGAACGGCGCGGATGCCGGGGTCGCCGGAGACGGCAGAAGCGGCGGATAGCATAACCGGCTTACGGGTCGACCGGGCGCGGGCCGTCTCGGTCGGGCACGGCCCCGGCCGGGCGATCATCCCCGGTGTCACTGGAGCCGTGATCTCCGCCACCCCCCTCCAATGGCTGTGCTGATGGCCGAGCGGTGTCGGCCGGAGTCGGACGCTCTACGCGGCGGGTGACTTTCCACGCTGAACGACCCCATCATCATGACCTGCATCGTCGCAGCCGCATAAAGTCCTTGATGGTGGGCCATCTGGCGTCAGGAACGGTGTTAGCAAGGACCGTTCCCGAGGATGGTGGAGACATTGCAGGACCGGCCAACTATATGTCCCGGATGGACCAAAATGGACTCGATTTCAAAATATAGCTTTTGGAGAAGCACAGCTTATGCGCACCATCACAAGGGCATTTGTGACAGCTGTTTGAGAGTTCTGACAATTCGAAGGAGACGCCTCTGCCAGGATGGCATTCGAGTGAGCGCTTCAGCACATACTTCATGCCCGGAATACCTAAACAGCACACAGTACCGACAGCGCCCAGCTGAATCTCCCTTCAGGTTACGTAATTCACAGACCCTGTGCACACAGTGTGCTAACACACCACTCCACGGCAATGAAAGGGCTGCTGAAGACGTCTGTTTACCTGATCTGTAGACGTCTGTTTACTGCAGCTCGAAACAGTTACGAACTCGAGAGCAGTGAAGCACGAGCTGTCTAGACTCGAGCCTTCGCCATATCTCACTGAATGATAGTAATCTTAATTAAATCAAAGCAGACGTAACGTACAAACAATAACAGACACGGACGCACTTGTAATTGGCATCAGCATCAATGCCCAAGCAGATTTATGCAATGGGAAAATCGGCGTTCTTGCGCTTGCCTAAAATGCTTATACATGACCTACTGCTGTCACGTCAAGTTGCCGGTTGTTTAGTCATTTAGTCCTTGTCTTGCAGTTGTTTATTCTTCCGGCCGCACGGGGCGCTGTGCTCCCCAAATATTGCCAGTTGAGCCCATTGTGGCAATTGTCCCCAATGAACAGCGCACAGACAGCGGTCTGCCGTGGGGTTGGGGCTCAACGCTCGCCCAGCACAGCGGCTACAGTTGTTTATGAACGTGCTTGCACTGGAAATGAATGAGATAGGCAGCGCTGGCCATTCGAAACAAATTAAATTCTGCTATAGTGCTATAAATATCGGTTAGTTTTGCCCTGGTAGGTATGTATGTACATACATGTAGCACGGTCCTCACACACAACAGAACAGCCGCTACTTTACCAATGGAGCCTTAGAGCCGGTCGGGATCCCTGCATGCACGGTCCTCAAACAGTTCAACAACACAGCCATTGCTCGGTGCCCTTGGAACGGACGTGAGGCTGACACTTCAGGCTTTGTGGTGCCCTTCCGAGTGCTGGCTACCAAATACTGCAATGTAAACGAATAAAGATGCAAGTGTTTGCTGATGCGCTTCCGCAAAGTGGAAGACGATGTAGCGCTGCGGCTATTATTTGATATCGTATTTAGCGTAATGCAGATGGATCCCGCTTACCTCTTCTAGTTGTTGATAGAGTTCGATAAATGTTTGAGCTGGTATATCATCTGCATTTCAAAGAGCAGCACGTGTTTCAGAAGCTAAATCACGACGCGATGAAAAGATAGGACAAGCAGCAGGGCCCTGTCTATCGTTAGCAAGATATAATCGTATACCGAACTGAAGAAAACAAAACTGCGCAATCTAATCAAAACACGTGTCTCGCTTGTGTTAGCAAAGAGCGCACTCCGGGACACGCAGTTGTCACTGACATACTAAGGTCGGGACATCTGAGCGGTTTTCTCACGGTCTCTCGCCCCGCCCGCCCGCTGCAGTGGTCGGGGACACCGCCCACTGACGACTCTCTGGGATCGATCCTGTGGCCAACAGCAATTAGCGGTCCAACGAGTGTGCCGTCACGACCCTCCGTGGACTCTTCATGGAATGCATCGTCACGGTTCGCTGTGGGGCTGCAGCGTCACGGCTCTTTACCAAACAAAGTCCGCGACCGTCCGTCGGAGGAATCGTGTATGCCGTGGGCACTGGGCAGCGTCACGGTCCATTTTGGACAAAGTCGCAATCCGTCTTGGCCAGCGACACTGCGTCAAGTTCCGCTCAAAAGTCGAAAGGATAAGGGATATTAGCATCTGGTGACATGACACAGGCGTCGCTTCGTTCTTCATAAAACGACATCATATTAGTCGTGAAATGACAGGAGAGCGGAGAGAGCGGAGAGAGAGAGAGATAGATAGAGAGAGAGAGAGAGAGAGAGAGAGAGAGAGAAAGAGAGAGAGAGAGAAAGAGAGAGAGATAGAGAGAGAGCGCGCAGAGAGAGCCAGAGAGAAAGGGAGAGAGAGAGACAGAGAGAGACAGAGACAGAGAGAGACAGAGACAGAGAGAGAGTGAGAGAGAGGGAGGGAGACAGAGAGAGAAAGAGAGAAAGAGAGAAGGAGAGAGAGAGGGAGAGAGAGAGCACCTAAGATGAATTGATAATGTCTTCAACAGAAATATGAGCCTGTAGGAGCTAGCAGGAGCTATATTTTGCTTCCTTATCGACGCAGCCTCGTGTGACCACACTGTCGGTAATGGCATTTCCCGACTGACGAAAACAATTATCGGTCGCTAACCGCTGGAACTATCGGTCGGTCGATCAGGGCTGACCGGGGCAGGCTATGTCACCGTCTGTCTCTTGGACACACCCCCGGGCCATAGCAGGCCGCCCTCGGAACGAATGCAGTCCGACGGGGGTGATGGGAGGCTGGACAGGGGACAGAGGACATTTGGACAATTAGACAAAGGGCCGATCATGTGATGTAGATCAAGGAACAGAAAATAGTTGAACATAAAGGACTACTGTTTGGTAACCCAAGACCAGAAACAGCCATCCCGAATTTCTAAGAAAAACGTTTAGGCAATGCCTACCTGTCATCTAGTTATGCGTGATATCTCATCGATTACATAGCCGATTTCTATGACGGCGAAGTGTGATGTACTTCAAACAATTGTATAAAGTCTAACTGGATAAATTTTCGGCAGCGTATCGACCCTATGAATCTTTTATACCTGTCCGAAAAGTTGTGGGATCGCTCGTGTCGTCTAAAACAGCGCAACAGGGCGATTGTATGGTGTTGGTGTTTGGTTAGGGCCTGATTGAGTTGTTAGCTTGTAGAACTGCAGAGATCAGTAAAAACGCATGACCGGGAAAAGACTGATTTGGAAGAGGCTACATATATGCTCTCTGTCTCTCAGCCACAAACAACTGAATCTTGTTTAGTACGGGAACGTGTGAAATCCTAACGTGTCGTGAAACCCCGAAATTTACATGTCCGCTAAAGAAATTTGGTCTGTCGTGTAATTGGCTGATCTCAATTTCGTCCTTGTTTGGCTAGCCCAATTTGCAGAGGAAGCATAACCGTCACAAAGGGATTACTTCGGATAACTTCTGAAATACCTCAGTGATATAGATTGAGAGGATGCCGAACTTCCCTGAAGATGTATTAGCATGGTAATAACCATGCCTGGCTCGCTGCGTTGGACAGCCGTCTCAACCGAAGCAGTTCGCAGGAAGAGCGAGTCTCCTGGGAACCCAAAATTATTCAGCTTTCTGCAGAGTCCACAGTACTCATGGCTAGGAAATTCAAATGTTATGAATATCAGTTGCAGTGTGAATATTTCTTTAGTCACGATAATGCAACTCATCTCTTTTAATGCACGCATGAATTGGTAATTCCTAAATAGTGTGTGACATACACAATGTAACTTTTGTTGCCGGCTGCTGTACTTTGTAGATCGATATACTTTTAGGTTTAATAAACTGCCCCTGGGAACTCGTTATGGCACAAAGGTTAGATTTGGCAGGTTGAATAGACTCCAACAATAAAAGCGTGGCGTGAAGCTCAAATGAAATAAAATGTTATGAAAACACAACAGCAAAGTAATCAACAGCAGGCGAGTTTATTGTAAGCCATTCGTTCAGCTTCTATTCAGAAAGAGCAGTATTTATTTTACGTTAGTGGAGACCGTAAACTGGCAGTTGACGAGCATGTCATTTGTTATATGAAAAATGGTAGACAAAATCTAAGTATTAGAGCTAAAGTTACTAAACCTGAGCGAATAATGATACCTGCGTGTTCAAGTGGTTAAACGTGGCAACCCAGATGCCGTGAACCTCACCTCTTTCCCATCTATGTGATAAAGATACAGACATACGAGTACAGCCGCAACAGATTGTAATTATTCGTTACTATTTTTCATCCATTAAATTTTCGATAAATCAAAATATTCAAACTAAAAAACGTGTCGCAAAGCAAATTCTCAAACCGCAATGATCCATCGGATCAGCACTCACCTGATTCAGCAGAGGGCGTCAGCAGCAGGACCACCACCAGCAGCACCGCCAGCCGCGGCGTCCGCCGAGTCGCCGGACCGGCGTCCATCCCCCACCACTGACCCGACCCCGCCGGCGGTGTCCGGTGACTGCCCGGCCGGCGGCCGCGCTACTCGGTCGCGGCGCGCATCCCTCCCCCGTCGGCTCCGACACTCGACTGCCGACCGACGCCGACGGCGGCGGCGCGCCCGGACCTCCGCGACGACCGCCGACGGCCGCGATCGAGCCCCGCCGCCCCTCCGCGGACAATGCGGCTGTCATCGCCAACCGGCGTCACTTTTGCACGGGGCCGCCCGCGTGCAGCGGCCGGCGCTTCAATCGTGCTCAAGTGGGACGGCTTTTTATGGGAGTAATTGCTCGAGTTGGGCAGCAGCGGGCGGCGCACGGCAGGTAGTTCCGTCAATTCAGTTTCGCCGCCTCACCTACGAATGTGTTCGGTGAGGTGCTTCAGAGCAATTCAATATTTACGGGTCGAAATGGCCAATAAATAGGCTGTCGAGGCCACTTCAGCGCCCATCAGACAAGTGGCTTGCGTCGGCCCGGCCGCAGTTCTTTTGCTAGTGGTTTGGTTTCAGACCTAAGAATGCGCAGCACAAGAAAAGGCACAATGCACGAAGCATGTAGCAGCGAGCGTACGATTAATCATGTCAGTCGAATGGTGGTGGCTGCCAATCCGGCCCAATTCATTTAAAGTATTTTGTATCATACATACCGATCGATGCAATTTTGCCCATCCACTATTTTCACATTACCTATTGGACACCTCGTTCGCGCTAGGTACAATTCAAATAACAATGCTCACTTGGACTGAAAAGAGGCATGATATGCAGCGATCAAGCTCCGCGTCTTTTTATTTTCTTTTAGAACTGCAACTGTGTTCACTGTGTATGAAGATAATGCGGAACTTTGATAACAGCTGACATTCATCATATGGCTTATGCAACAGTAGGTACCTACTCTCTCCCTCTCTCTCTCTCTCTCTCTCTCTCTCTCTCTCTCTCTCTCTTTCTCTCTCTCTCTCTCTTTCTCTCTCTCTCTCTCTCTCTCTCTCTCTCTCTCTCTCTCTCTCTCTCTCTCTCTCTCTCTCTCTCTCTCTCTCTCTCTCTCTCTCTCTCTCTCTCTCTCTCTCTCTCCTCTCTCTTACTCCAAGGAATAGTGTACGCAATGGGGCTAACAATGCATACAATAATCCGCGTAAGGGAAAATGCGTCTGAACCAACACAAGCTACAAGGCCAGTTGAATAACAGGAAAGTCATTTCGGTAGTCCTCATTCTCAATTTCGCTCTGTTGGTTTATTTTTCAAGCAGCATGTCTCTGTGTACTTACTACTTGTGTAGGCCTTTAGCACGCAAGTGTTGTCACCTAGAGCTGCTGAAATATCGTTTTATGATAGGCCAATGGCATGCTGCAGGTCGACTGTAAGTAATACCTTTGTCGCGGTAATCGCTTTCTAGCTCAATTCCTGTTGTGTGCAAAATATTTGCCCGTTCTGCATTTACGCCAACATTGCCGTGTTGGGTTCATTAACCCGCGCCCCGTTGGGCTCTGCCGAGCAACGCGCCCCGTTGGGGGGAGCCATTTTGGCCCCCCCCCCTAAGATCTCGAGAACCACGCAACCTAGCGACAAGCGGCAAACGGTGTTGGATAGCCCTATCAGGGAACTACCTTGTGACCCAATTTTATTGACCTAGGTCAAACCGATGACGTCACAGGTCAGGTCAAAGGTCCAATTTTCACCGTTTACAGGCATTTCAAGAAATGCGTTGTAAAATCGAGTAAAATGCATTTCATTGAAAATCATCGATGGGGAAATGTTCTTCAAACACATATTTTGCTATTTGAGGTCACTGATACCAGGTCAGGTCACAGAGGTCAGGTCACTTGGGGGTCACAATATGAAAGTGTCGTGTGATACATGTTTTATGGTCCATTTTACATGACAAATGCAATTATGTGGGTCAGGCTGCCTCTGGGGCCACCTTAGGTCACGTTTTGGTCAAGGTCAGGTCAAGGTCAGGTCAAGGTCAGGTCAAATTAGGTCAAATTTCAAAGTTGATATTTTTGCATAAAATGGGTATCGAATCGATGCAGCTCGTCACGGGGAGTTCAATGGTGGTCTTTGTTTTACGGTACGTGGTCTAGAATCGCTAAAAATTGAGTTCAAAAATTTGACGTCATCATTTTTGAACAGTTTTTTCGCTATAACTTGGCCAAAAAACGAGATATCGATCTGAAATTTGGTATGTATATAGAAGAGCACAAGGACTATCACATATATTCCGGTTTTTCGAAATTCGGAAAATTGTTTGATTTTTTTTAGTTTTTCTAAAAAATTCAATTTTTTGAATTTTTGAGGGTCAAAAACACAAAATTTTGAAAATCCGAGATAGCAGTTTTGTAGCGCCACTTTTTGTCTACCAGACCATATAAAGAACTTTGAAATTGCTTGATAACTGTAGATTTGGTGAGCGTTTCAAGATTGCATGTTTTTTGCTCATTTTTGCTCGAACATGACCTCAGTTTGACCTCAATAACTCCTGACCTAAGGTGACCTAAGACTTGAAATTTGGTGTGAAGGTGTCAAATTGATGCCCGGGAAGGTACTGAAAATTTGGCGGCGCTGCGCGCCGCCGTTTTCTTGCTATTCAGGAAAAACCACAGGGGGGGCCAAAATGCCCCCCCCCCCAACGGGGCGAGGGTTAAGACTGATCCTACAGCAAGTGTTGCCTTCTCAAGTCATGGTAATTGATGTGTTTTATACCTTCGGATTTGTGACTGCACTTTTCTACAGCTTCGTCCATGAAACTTGTTCTGGCTGAACTAATGATCATTGATCCCACCACATTAATGTGAAGTAATAACCTTTTCAGTTGATAGCACTTTATATCATGAATAAACAGAATGTTTATAGATAATTTCGAAGTGCATTCAGAACATTCCAAGACAGAGTGATGTGATTCCGTCCCAGGAGTGCACGTTGGACGACAGTCAGTCCTACCAGGACATAAGTCTTTTGATTGGACAGGAAATTATGTCGACTGTCAAACGTTCTTCCCTCCCACCGAACGCAGAAAAAAGACTTCGTTGGACGTCTAGAGCCGCTGATATGCGCCAATCTGCGGACTGAATTAATGTGCTCGCCCCGCCTAGCCCACTCTAAAAATCGTGTCTCATAATGAACCACCAGCCAGCAGAATTCAAATCGAGCCGCTGAAATGAGTCTCTGCGGTGGCGGCGGGGCGGCGGGGTGGCGGCGGTCGCTCGCGCCTGCGCACCCTCTCTGACTTCACCTCCCGCAGGCCGCAATCGTTCCCAACTGCGAATATTTATCGGAGTTTTACGGCCGTTTTATGCAGATCGGGCGGCCGTCGTTCACAGCGGCTTCCGCGGCTCCAGATCGGAGTGCTGCCGGCGCCGATCGGGACGGCGGCGTCAGACGTTGATGACGCGTGTCGATGCCGGCGGCCGTCATCGGGTCCGACGCCGCCGGGTCGCCCGGCCGGTCGGCAGGGGACGGCGGCGCGGCGGCAGTATTGGTCTCCCGGCGGCGGTGATGGGCGCTGGAGAGCGGCCTCGGCCTCTCGGGGCGGCTCCGACCGCCGGCCGGCGATTAATTGTGAGCTGACTGCCGCAGACGGCGATGCGACAGGGCCAGGCCGCATATGCCATGGAAGGCCAGAAGTCGCGGCAGAAGCGGGCAAGCTGCTTGCGGTCATGGAAGGCCTGGAGGGCGGCCGGCGTGGTGCGCCGCAGCTAAACTGTATTTTTTGTGAAACACCACAATATATTTTATGAATCGTGACGAGGTGGGTCTCACATGTTCCCTGCCGGTAGGTAATTATATATGTAGATATATTGGACAGGTATGTAGTAAAGAGCAAGTAGCATACGAATATATTCAAGTAGCAATTACATATAAATACGTTAGGATTATTCGAAGGACGTTAGGATTATTCGAACGTATTCAAACTGGACTCAAAATGCATTCATAACTAAAAAGCTTCCATCAGAAAAGACCTTACTGCATGTCTTAGTCTTACTGCATGTCTGCAGGTGGTATATTCTATTTGCAGACCACTGCTGATCCGTACACAGGAGTCTCCTACCACCTTTTGCATCACCGTTGTGCGGAACTCCCCTAGCTGCCATCATGTGCCAAATTCAGCCTCAAAGTCAGATCAACTCCTGGGCTGGCGTTTTGCGCCGGCGCCCCTATCAGATCTGGCCCGGCCCCCAGTAGCGCTGCGAGCTTAGTTCACGGACATGAGCCGGTTTCCGTCCGGAAATGAAACGCCATGACGACACGGCCCATGATAGAGTCGGCCGGGAACGGCGGAAAGGACACCCCATTTGAGCGGCCCGGAGCACCCACACACGGCCCCTCAATGGCGTAAAGCCCCGGTCACACTACATTAGGTGGCCGGAGCCTGCTGGCAGCATCACCATGCGAGGCTGATGTATTTACGCCAGGTACCTACATACCATGCTCAGATAACTTAGCAATGAGGTCATCTATGTCATCTATGTCTGTCAGTTTGTCTGTCAGTCAATCTGTTTGTGTCTAGGTCTCTCTCTCTCTCTCTCTCTCTCTCTCTCTCTCTCTCTCTCTCTCTCTCTCTCTCTCTCTCTCTCTCTCTCGCTCTCGCTCGCTCTCTCTCTCTCTCTCTCTCTCTCTCTCTCTCTCTCTCTCGCTCGCTCTCTCTCGCTCTCTCTCTCGCTCTCTCTCTCTCTCTTTTTCTCTTAGGTATTCCATTCTTCTCTTCCTTTCCTCTTTCTTTCTCTGTCTGTCGCACTCATTTCTTTCTCACCCACTCCACTCTAACTCACCCTTTCTTTCTCATTATCGACCTCTCAGTTCTCCCCTTCTCAAACTGCATGAAAATAATCGCAATGTTATAATAGCTCATTGTAATCGCATTATCCTTTATCGTTATTCAAATGAAAGATGCAAACCAAAGTTAGTACAGGGTGGGCCAAAAAAAGTGTGTCACTTTTCAGCAGCTATTTCTCGAAAGTGGCAAGAGATACCAAAAAGAAACTTTCACAACTTAAAGAAAATCGTTTGACAAATTATATGATACCCATTTTATGAAAAAGTTTCAGTTGAACTGATGCTGCCATCACCATTTCAAAAATGGGATATGTGCG